TCTTTTCAGTTTCTTGATTTTTCACATAATAAATAGAATGACTTCCTAAGTTCTTGAGTCTGGTATCCTCTTGGACTAATATATTGTGCAATTCATGCACATTCCATTTGTCTTTCATGGTGTTATAGTTTCACAAATTTCATAATTCTCTCACGTCCTCAGTTTTAGGAAGAGCAGACTTAATATTGCTTGTTATACTCATTCGCATAAACATAAGACTAAGTTTGTTTGATTTTTCTCAAACTCTATAATGAGTTTTCTCTTCATTACTACTAGCATCAATTATAATAATCAGTTTTTCAACTTGAAAAGTCAAATCAAGATCCAACTCACTTAATTGAAATTGGACTTGTTCACTCCAGTCAGGGAAATTTAACCCATTAAAGACGGGAACAGACGAAGTGACGCTAATCATTATATGCATACTAATTAAACATAAATAATCATTATATGCATATTAATGTTCTCCTTTGGATATCCACTTATACACAAACATAATGACGCTAACTATTTTATAACATTAATGATAATTGAAATATCCATACACTAGAATTATCTAACACCTTTGGGTATATAAATAAAACTAGTGACGCACACAAAATTATCTACATTCATGTTCATTAATTATAATAACAACTAATCAACCTTTAGATAATCCTGAAATGCCTTATAATAATGAATTTCAATTAACCCATAAATCAATTATTAATAATAATAATTTTGAAATAAAATCATTAATAATTTGAGATCAAATAACCTTAAAGTTTTGACTACTTTGGTGACTAACAAAATTTATCATGCCTAATTTCAAATAAATAACATCTTTAATTGATATTAATCATTCATAGCATTTTTTATTAATTTTAATAAATATGTACACATATACCATATCTATAACAAATAATTATTATATTAATTTTATAATGATTAAAAAAAATGAATCATGCATAGCTAAACCAATTCATGCAGCAAATTGGATACATGATTTGCCTTTTTCAATTTTAATTATTATAACATGTCGCCTGCACAGAACCAATTCATGTACACTTATAATTTTGATTATTATGACATGCAGCAAAGTGAAACCAATTCACGTACACAGTGGGACTTTCAATCACGCATAGTGGCAACGGAAACGGACATATGCTTACCTTCATCATAATTATCCATTCAATTTGTAATTCAATTACGGGATTTTGAAATTGTTTGTTCGAATTACAAATCTTCATAATTTTACAATTTCAATTTGAAATCAATTGCACTGAAAAACATAAAACTTATAATTAGAGTTCCAAAACAAATTTGAGAATAAATTAAAGTTCATGCTAATTTAATAGATAAATCTTTAAATTCATAATTAAAGTTTATCTTAATTTGAGAAAAACTATCTTAAGAGAATAATCATAAATCTACAATGACTCGATACCACAAATAAATCATTATGTAGCTTTTCTTACGTTCTTTATTCATTTCAGAAAACTAGTTTATAATATTTTTATATTCATGATTCTCACATAATAACATAAATCATAATAAAGAAATTAACATTGATCTATAAGAGATATTTAATGAAAATACGTTTTTCAATGTCTTTGTTTTTCAATCTCTTTTTTTCAATCTATCCTTCTGTCTTTTTTTCCTGTCATATTTTTCTAATGGTTTACTATGAAAAAACTTTATGGTCGAGAGACAAAATCCTAATCCCCTTTATTAATTAACGTTCATCAAGTTGGTTAGTGTAAGTTTTTATTTTTATTTTATTATGACTTCTCATAATAACCAATAGGTCCTTATATTTTATTAAATCACTTTTGGGTTAATGATTATATTTCACATAAGTCACATAATAGAATGAATTAACATAAGGTTCCTTATACATCTACAATTGATAGCCTAATGTATGCAATAGTATGCATTAGACTAGACATTGCTCATGTAATAGAAGTTGTTAACATATTCATGTCTAATCCATGAAGGAAGCATTGAGAAGTTGTCAAGTAATTGTTACGCTACTTGAAAGGTACTTCTAAAACTGTATTATATGTTTTAGAAGAAGTGATGTCATTTTGAAAGGATATCCCGATGCAAATTTGGAAGGTTGTTTAGATACAAGAAAAAGTACTACAGGATTTATCTTCATAGTAAGTGGTACAGTAGTTAGTTAGGTGTCTCGACTTTAGAAAAGCGTGTACTTTCAACCACAAAAGCAAAGTACATGATTATTTTAGAAGTCATTAAGGAAATGGTTTGATTAAAGAATTTTTATTGAGGAACTTGATAAGAAACAATGTGACAGTTATCTTTATAGCGATAGTTAGAATATTATTCATCTTACAATTTTTCATGCAAGAACAAAGTACATCCAATTAAAGTATTATTTCATTAAAGAACTAATAAGTGATAATACTCTATTTTTAGAGAAGATCTTTGAGTCAGATAATCTTGCAGATATGTTGACCAAAGTGGTTACTACTGAGAAATTGATGTTATTTCATGGTTAATTGTTGAGAATGCATTGTAATAGTTTAAAGTGTTATAGCTTGGAATGTACTTGATGTGATTAGTCTCTAAATGAGATATTATTAAGTATGTGAAATCTGAATGATTATTAAACTTGACCTATTTACTTATTCTTTATTTATAAATGTTTATATAATTATAAACTTAATTAAGTGAATAAGAACTACCATCTAATATAATCGTGTATATAATCATTTTGACTTAATAACATAAATTCTTTGAGTTCTTATTATTTGTTTTTATCTTGTAATGCATTTGTATTCTCTCAACATATATATAAATTATCTTTAACTTCAATTCTAAACAATAATAAATTGATAAACCAGAACAAAACTATTATTATACATATAACATACTTTGATTAATTTAAACCATTATAAGATAAAAATTTCTTATACAACATAAGATATATTATCATTCTATCATATTTATCTCAGTGACTCTCTTTCTCAACAGTTCCATAAAATATGAATTTGGTTATTAAAATATTTTATCCAAATCCAAATTCAAAATTTAAATCACTTGTTCAATTTTTTAATAAAATTAAATAATTTTGGATAAAAATAAATCATATTTAATATAGTTTATTTTTTTTATAAATCATCATAATTATATCTAAACACAAAGTTAAAGTTACTCTCTCTCTAGTGCATTTAAAAAGGTCAATGATTAATGTGAATTAAGAAATAATCTCAAATAATCTTTTTTGAATAATCTTTTTTTTTAGATAAATACATTAGAAATATATCTACACGATATTTCAATTTGGATTTAGAGTAGTTAAATCTCAATTTCCCACTTTAATTATCTTTACTTCATCGTGATTTTTATGATAGTACCACGTATCAATCTTAGAAATCTAATACTCAAACTTCTTTGATAACAAACGATTAGTTGAATCATATTAAAATGTAATCAAATCTAACTATACCTACTCTCAACACTTATTAATATCTATTAAATACAATACCTAACATTTGAATATTCTATGTTATAACCTTTCAAACGACAATCTCCTACATCTTGAGTACTATTAGGCAAAACAGTTCTATCAAATATAAAGAACCGTAAAATAAATATTTCCGCGAAGTTGTCAAGTACTATACATCTTTTGTGCTTAAGTCAAAATCTCAATAATATTAATCAATAGTTTTATAATAAAATAATCTATATTACTATCACAAATAAAAAATGTACTACAAACTAATAATTTTAAAACCAAACTAATCAAATAAATGAACATAAAATAAATTTTTATAAATAAAAAAGTAAAATAATTAAAATTATTATCTTAATGACCATAAATAACAAAAATTATAAATATTATTAAAAATTATTAAAATAAAAAATATATAATAAAATAATTATTTTTTAAAATTGATAGAATTAATATAAATAAAACATATTACATTTCTATAAAAAAGTATATTTATTTTAATTTTTATATTTTTTACTAGAAAATTCTACCCAGAAAACCTACCTCATTTTATTTTATTGGTTTTATACCAATTTTCAGATCCCATTTTCAAAATATTGACTTTGGGGCGGAACAAGCTAAGAAAACAAATTTACCCATATTATTAAATGAACTTAACATCAGGACGACTAACAATATTATGCCTTAAAAATTAATAATTGTTTATTCCAGTCTCAAAAAGATGACTGAAGAACCAAAAACAACTTTTTGAAACGTGGAACGAATACATTGCAGTTGATTAACAAAATTCAATCATCACTTTTAAAATGCAAACAAAATACACACACCTCGAAAAGGATAAATACTAAGTCATGCTAAGCTCGAGAGAAAAGATAATACCACAGTTCAAATTCGTCATTAACTAATACAAGGAATTTTGTGAAATATCCGTTGAATGATTCATATATTACTAATAAGATAATAACGCCAGTAACTGTTCACTACTTGTCATTTGATTAATTAAAACCTACAAACAATATATTTAAAACTAAATGTGATACGTAAAGGAGCAGCAAAGGTATATATTTACTTCCCGCATAGGCTGGAACTGCATAAAACTGCGAAAAATAATTATATCATAAAATAAAATCTGGAAATAATTAGCAAAAAAATTATTATTAACTTCAAAAAATTAATAAAGGGTAGGGGATGCATCACTATCTAGTTCCCCACACTAGAGGTATCCATCGTACATTTTTAGACTCGTTACAAATAAAATGGCTACCAGGTTCTGCATTTCATCCATAGGAGAAAAAAACTTTTGTTCTCAATGAACTTCCCCCATGCTCTATAGACCATATCCTGGACAAAACAAACCGAAGGTCAGTAAACTATATTTGGTATGTTCATCTCTTCAAAAAACCAATATGTACATGTCAAATGCCTAAAATCCAGACACTTGTTACGGAAACACCTTGGAATTTAAGATTCCTTATCATTGATTGGAGATATACCTAGTCCAACTGCACCTTTAGTATACAAAGGAAGATGTACTCCTCGGAAACTACATACCTGAACCGTCCATGGGGTTTCCAGCAGGTACTGGCTCAGGTTCCTTTATTTCAACAACCACGCAATCTGACATTAAGAAGGTCTTCGCCACAGAGGCTGCATGTTCCAAGCAACATCTCACCACCTGCACAAGAGTGGAAGGATGGTTGAGAATTCAAAGTTTCAAATCACAAATATCATTTATTATACAGACGATGATAGCAGAAACTTGCGGAATGGCCCTGTTCAGAAAGGATGGTAGGATGATCTGATACAACTCAAGACAGATACGAGAAAACATTTACACGTAGTGATTCAATTTTTAAATTAAGACAAACATATATAAACTTGACACGAATATATGGTCAAAGAAGAAAAACAATGTTCTAGAAAAAGGAGCCTGACACAGCATAGTTATTATTTGGAAGTGCCCATGCTTCCTAGGAAAAAGAAAACCGCCTTTCAGTCACTATAGATGAGAACTACATAGTTATTCACCCAGACTGAAAAAAAATGGATAATATTACTCCTCCCACCCCAAAAAAGAAAATGAATTGGATAACATTTGCTTTAAACTACAACTGGAAAGGCCCCACTTTCCTAAATAGTTCCTTTACTCCAGGTATCCGGAAGAGAGATACATTAGCATTCCAACAAGATTCTCCAATTAAACCCATCTATGAAACACTCGTGTAGCTTTCCAAAAGCTCAGGTTTAGAACGAAAAAGCAATTAAGATGATTACATCCCAGACAAGAAATTCAATGCAAGTATGTAAACAAATCCCAAGTGTGTAAACATAGCTTAAAGTAATATAATCAGATAATTTAAACCCGAAACCAGATCACATGGCAGTAAATTCGAAACTAACTTAACAGCAAATTACCTTTGTTGGGTCAATGATCCCAGCAGACATCAAATCTTCATAGTTTCCAGTGGCAGCATTGTATCCATATCTTGGATTGTCGCTGGACAATACCTAAACCACAACGCAAGTCACATCATCACAACCACATTGATAGAAAAAGAGAAATTTTAAATGGATCAAATATTAGTACCTTCTCACTCACAACACTACCATTGACACCAGCATTCTTGGCAATTAATTTCAGGGGGTAACTAAGAGCCCTTTTCACAATATCAGCTCCAACCTGCAACAATTAGACAAAATTTTAAAGCCTTATCAAGAGCATATCCCGGCACCCAAACAAAAGTATCACCACATTCAAGATATGTGTATTCTCTCCATATCACATAAATGACTCACTTTTTCTTCATCATTATCCAGGCTATCCCTGATTGCATCCACCTTTGATGCAAGTCTCAGCAGAGTGCAGCCACCACCAACTACAATACCTTCCTCAACAGCTGCCTGAAAGTAAAGCAAACTATTAGCTTACAGAAACAGAATCCAAAAAAGATCCAAGTGTTTTGGGATAGAAAAGGTACCTTTGTAGCATTAAGAGCATCTTCAACTCTCAATTTCTTTTCCTTGAGCTCTGTCTCAGTTTGTGCGCCAACCTACACATGTACAAAAACTTGCCTAGATTATATACCTTACAGAGTACCAAACTAGTGATTTACCACAATTCAATTGAGTCCGTTACCTGTATCACAGCCACACCACCAGACAATTTAGCAATTCTCTCATTCAACTTCTCTTTCTCGTACTCTTGCTCTGCAGCCTGTAATGTAAATAATGGCATAGTTAGAATATGGAGAAGAATGAAGAATATATTCTCTCATCTCATCTGTGCAAAATTTCACCTAGGACTACTCATGTGCATTTTTGCATATGCAAATCGGTAGACATAAATATAACCAGCCATATGTATGTATATCAATCATTTTAAATAGTACAAAAGTATTTCTCTCATGTTAAAAGTGTATCACTTTCTGTGACAAGTGGAAAGTGGAAGAAAGAGAGGGAAGAAGGAAAGACCTCAATTAGGTTCTTGATTTGAGCAACTCTCTTGTTCACTGCTTCCTGGGTACTTCCATCACCAACAATTGTTGTTGTATCCTTGGTGAGTACCACCTTGGATGCATATCCGAGAACCTCTTTTCCAGCTTTGTCCAATGTAAGGCCAACCTCTTCCCTGATTACAGTACCTGTAAACCATTTGAGAAAAAATACATATTCTTATCAACGTCTGAAAAAAAAAGGATAGACAAAGTCCAATTCTCACTACCAAGTTAAAACATAATAAAAAACAATTAAATTCTAAATTTAAAGACCTCCGGTCAAGATTGCAATATCATCAAGGTACTGGCTCTTGCGTTCTCCAAACCCAGGGGCCTTAAGTGCTGCAATCTTCAGCGATCCTCTAAGTTTGTTCACCACAAGAGTTGCTAGAGCTTCTTGCTCAATGTCCTCTGCAATAACCAATATCGGGTATCCACTTCTAATAGCATCCTCCAGTATGTTGAAAAGATCCCTAGCATTGGTTATCTTTTTGTCAACTAACAGCAACTGCAAAACAAACAATACAAAATTATAACTATGCAGGATGTCAGAATAAAAATAAGTTATAAGAAGCGCAGGCAAATGCAACACACCTTACAGTTTTCATACTCAACAGCCATTTTCTCACTGTCAGTAACGAAGTATGGAGAAATATAGCCACGGTCAAATTGCATCCCCTCGACAACATACAGACTGTTATCAGCACTCTTTCCCTCCTCAAGGGTCACAACACCCTTTCTACCAACTTTGCTCAATGCTTCAGCTATCATAGTTCCTACTTCATAATTGTTTCCAGCACTAACTGCAGCCACATCTGCCAATTCACTATCTTCAACCTGCAATCGACCCAACCAAAACCTTATCAAGCCTCAACTAACAACATGAGCAAAACAATTTAATTAATCATTAATGAAACACCAAATACATTTAAAAATGGGAAATTTTCAGTACTTCATGTAATAATCATGCTTACACACATACACACAACAATGTTTGGTATTTGAATAAGTAGATAAATGCTTCACCTCCTTTGACATCTTTTTAAGCTCAGAGACCAGAGCCTTTGCTGTCTTCTCAATGCCTCGAGTGATGAGCACAGGGTTAGCACCAGCTGCAACAACCTGCGAAAATAGATATAATTTAAAGCCTATTTACATGATAATAACCAAAACAAACAAGCCAGCCCAAACCAAGCAGCTAATATTCTACATTTTCAATAAAACAACAAACAGTCCTACCTTAACACCTTCCGCGATAAGGCCTTGCGCTAGAACAACAGAAGTCGTGGTTCCATCACCAGCCAAGTCGTTGGTCTTGGCAGCAGCTTGTCTAACCAACTTGGCACCAATATTCTCAACGGGATCCTCCAACTCAACCTTCCCAAACCAAATTCAGCAAAACATCAATAGAAACTCACACAACTAGTCACTAAACACGAAATTCAAATAAAATCCTATTCACCTGAACAAATTCAAACGTATACAAAAAGAGAAATAACCATAGATAATAACAAAATTCAACAGCGTACCTCTTTGGCGACAGTGACACCGTCGTTAACGATTTTCGGTGAACCATACTTGCTCTCGAGAACAACATTCCTTCCCTTGGGACCAAGCGTGACCCCAACCAGATCCGCGAGCTTGTTCACACCGCTCTGCAAAACGCGAAAAACAAAAACAAAACGTCAGCAACTGCTGGACTGAAAACGCGCGTTTCAAGGCAGTGTACAGTGCATCTACCTGGAGCTTCTTGATTGCGGTACCGTCCTTGTTAAAGTGCAACTCCTTGGCCATGGCGGAGACCCTGGCGTTGCGGCTTCTTCTGGCGAGAACGACGCCGTTGGATTGGCGGCGAGAGCCGGAGAAGGGGAAGGAGGAGATGGCAGCTGAAGAGGAGAGCTTGTAGGAGGACATTGCGGAGAAGGTGGAAGCCATGGCTAGGGTTTAAGGAGGGTTGAGGAGTGTGGTTGTGGATAACGTGAACGGCTTTGGAGTGTTGAGGAAATAGAAATGGGTGAGGGATTAGGTTTTTATTATTACAATGCGCGAAGGTGACGAGGGATTTGGTCTTGAAGCTTCTGTTTCATCTTGGCCGTTCGATTCTCAAGGGCTTGTTGCTCTTGTCCTACACTGGAATGCTCTAGAACTTTTGAGTTCTGCTACGGGCATTGGTTGTTAGGAGAAGAGAAATAGCAAAATTTGCATTTTTCTTTTTTAAGAATGTCAGAAGGAGTATACTCCATTAACACTTTTTTTTCTAAAAATATTATTTTATATATTAGATTTTCTTGTATCATTTCTTTTTTCACATATTGTCGATAAAAAACTGATAAATAATATGTGATGGTATATATTATCTCCGTTTTACTGAGAATAAAATTTATATTAAAATAATATATTGTATTTATAAGATTTTTTTATAAAAAAATTACTATATATAACTTTAAATGATCGAAGAAGAAATTAATAATGTTAAAAAGAGTTTCAAGTAGAAATTGGATAAAACAGACGTGCATAATTATCAGAAAATTCTTACAAAACACTTGCAGAAGAGAAATATTAGAAAGGTTATTTTAATTCTATTACCTCTATATTAAGTTGATTTTTTTTATTAATTCTATTTAAGTCTTTCTCTATACTTACCTAAATTTAAAGTTATATGATTTTATTATGTAACATCATTGTTAAAGAATTCAGTCAAATTTGCTTTAATAAACGAAATTTAAGAAAAATAACACAACTCATTTTTTTTCTTTAAAGACATTTGATAAAATAATTTACAATTTTTTAAATAACTTTTTATGTCACTTGATTTAAAAAAATATTTTTAATAAATAGTATTTTATTAAACTTATCAATAAATAATTTCTATTAAAGAGGTTTTTATATACAAATTTTTGTTTACGAGACATTATCCTAAAATCGTATTTAATCCCTCTACTAATATTATGTCTTAAAAAGGAAAAATATTCTGTGATGATTTTATCCTACATATCTTTTTAATCTCTTATATTTCACTAATAAAAAAGTCTTTTTTAAGTTTTTTTTTAATATATTAGTTATTATGCAATAAAAAGATGTGATGATATTTTTAAACTAAAACCGACTTTTTTTTTAAGTTTGACCATATTTTTTAAATTAAAAATAACTTTTTTAAGTCATATCATATATAATTTGATGTAAAAAGTGAAATTTAGGTAAGATGTAATATATATCGAAAGTAAATTTTATTTTTTACGTTAAATTTCATAAGGTTTTATGTAAATTTCGTTTTATATTTTGTTTTAAGGCTTTATTTTCTTCATGTTAGTAAGAGTTTTCTTTTGAGTGGCGACAGTGAGAGTAGGAGGACCTTTTTGAGAGTTTTTCGGGTACGATGAGCAATAGCGACACTCTCGTTATGACATGTTTATGATTTTGAATATTTCTCTCTTTATTGTTATTGTAGTTGTTGATATCGTAGTCCTTCATTATTGTTGTCATTATCATTGTTGTTGTCACCTTTGTTGTTTATTCTTCAAGTCGTTGTCGTTGTGGGTGTCTTGTCTATTTACGTTGCATGTTGTTGTCATTCATTGTATCGTATTCTTGTTGTGATCTTATTTTGTCTATGTCACTTGACAATGTTTCATCTATTACTAAGTTTTGTTTTCATCTTCTTCTACAATAATTTTTTTTATTAAAATTGAAATTTTGGCCTTTTTTTTAACATTAAACATAAATTTATGTCAACTCTTATACCATTTTGATATAAATTTAAGTTAGATTATAGAGTATCTGATGTAAAATTATGTTGATTAGTTACTCTAACGTAAATTTACATCTCATGCGTTAATGTCAAAACTTAATTAAACATAAACATTTCTTGTGTACTAGTGTTCTGATCTTTTTATAATAATCATCTTATTAATTTTCACATTCATCTTCTCTTTCTCCTTTCATACACTTTTTTATACACATACACTTTCTCGATAATGATTTTTGCATCCACTCTATCTAGCCAATTTTACAATTATGCTCAGAGTTTGTATCTTCATGTTATAAATGCATTATATATTAGATATTATAAACTCAATTACTTGCAATTCTTTTCCATATCAATAAATTTGGAAAAATTGTCATGCTAACTAATTGAAAATGTTATCAATTGAGCACGTTGAATTCTCCTTTCATCCTCGTATGCTAGGCTAAATTTGACAAATTCTTAATGTGATGTTTTACATTTTGACAGTTGGGATCATAAATTGAAAGTCTGTGTTGGGAGAAATCAATTTCGTTCAGTTGTTTTGTTATTGAGATTTTTTTCTTCTTTTGTTCTTCAATTTGAAAGGTTTATTGATTTGATGTGTTGATTGGTTATAAGCACTTATTTATGTTTTTGATAAACTTTTTGTATCATTTATTTGATCTTAGTGGAATTTGATTGACAAACTTGTAAGCATAACAATGGGGAAGAGCGGGACGAGTTTTGTCTCCCCAACCATTGCCCTCAACTCTCTTAACCATCTTGTCCCAACCTCGATTCCTTATAGGTTAAAAATTAAGTATTTATCTCATCTTCGTTAGGTTTTAAATTTCTCGTCTCGACCCATCCTACATTATTTCTAAAAAAAATATTTATAATAAATTAATTTTAACATTTTTATGTAATATTTTATATACATAATAAATACGTGTAATTTTATATTTTTTAATTATTATCATTAATTAAATATATACTTTAATTTATTATATTTATATTAAAAAATATTTAGTCATTTTTTATACTAATATAATTTATATATTTTTATTTTTATTGTAATTATTATTATTATATATATTATAAGATTGTATTTGAACTTTTAATTATATGTACAAGTTAATTGTTTTTTTAAATTGTTAATTTTAAATGTTAATAAATATGAAATATATAATTTATAATAAAATATTTAATAAGTTAATTCTTATTTAATTAGTGCAAAATAATAAATTTTTATTTATTAATTCTTTTTAATTTTTAAAATATAATTATTTTATTAAAATAAATTTTGATATATGACAAATAAGAGTGATAAAATCCAGAAAATATGATATAACAAAATCTAATAAAGATAAACTAGAAATAAAATAATATTAAGTACTACGATTTATGTAAAATATTTAGAGAGATGAAGAAAAATTAACTTTGTATTTTTCAAATTGATTGAAAAGATTGGAAAAACTAAACTAATTAGAGAGATTAAGAAAATATGAAGGAGCGGAAGGTGGGAGAAAGAGAATAATATAATGAACAAATGAGTTTAAGAAGTTGAAAAAGATAAAAGAGTGAAAAATGGATACGAGAAAAGTAAAGAGAATGAAATATAGAAAAAAATGATATTATATATAATGTGAGAAAGAAAAGAAAATATTTAAAAAAAAATAATATTTTAGGATTTAGGTTTAAATATAAAGTTGGGATGGGGACAGAGATAAGATCGGAATGGAGTGCTTGTCACGGAAAATAAAGGAAGAAGTAAACAAAAAAAAAAACAAAAAAAACTCAAACTTGCACTTGCACTTATCAACTCAATTTTTATCTGTCAAACTCGAGTTGAAACGGATTGGTCCCCATAGGTATAATTTTAGTTGTCATCTCTACTAGCTTATGCTTATTAGTTTTTACTTCTCACATTAAGAGGATTTTCCCATGTTAAAATATTTGTGTCTTCTTGCAAATTGTCATTATCACTGCTTGTTGTTACTTCTTGTTGGTTCTTGTAAGTTAGAGAAATTATTTTCGTTTCATACTTTAGTACTTTTCATTATCTATTATTGTTGTTTTCCCTATCAAAGTGGTATTAGAACTCTTTGATTTGAGGCTAAAGTTACTTGCTTGAATGATGGAAGTAAATATAAATATGATTACTTTAAATAGTACAAATAATCATTTGTGGAAGGATAAGATGAAAAACTTTTGTGAAGAGATTACATCTTTTAGTCTTTGCTACTCAGAAGCTATATTCTATGTTTGATGAATTATGGGACTTTGAATACCAACAAGTGCGTGATTTTGTTCGATAATGTGTAAAAGACAATGTTTATAATCATGTTGGAAATGAGACAAATGCTTAAAGTTTGTGAGAGAAAATGAGTCATTGTATGCTTTTAAGTTAAGTAGCAATATGTTGTATTTGTTAAACTACTTTATAAATTTGAGTATAAAGAGAGTTCTTCCATTGTAGATAATTTGAATGAGTTTCAAGGCCTCTTAGATCAACCGTTAAGAATGAGTATCAATTTTGATGATACAGTTTCTGGTACTATTGAATTTCAATTACAAAATCAGCCCATAATGGTGTTGTTTCTTTGCAAATGAGAAGGAAGACACATGATTTTTCCTCTTAGTATGACGTGCTTGTGACAAAAAATTAAGGAAGAAGTAAAAGAAAAGAAAACAAAGAGTGGTAAAGAGAACACTAAGAGCTAGTCCAAGTCAAGATACTTGAATGTGAAGTGTTATTATTATAATAAAGTTGATTCAAATGCATTATTTAAAATGAATATGATGAATGATAACAAACACGAAAGGCAAGCAAAAATAGAAGGATCATGATGAAAATCATATTAATACTACTCTAGGTGATAATCTTATTCTTCTTCATAACTATAAGTATGTTAATTTTGTATCAGATGAGAGCAGATTGTTAATTGATAGTGGTGTTACACTGCATGTTACAATAAGGAAAGAGTTATTCACATATTACATTTATGATTATTTTAGAGTGTTGAAGATGGGTAATAATGATAAGTCGAATGCTGTTAGTGTTGGTGATGTTTAGTTATAAACCAACATAGGAGTACAATTGTTACTTAAAAAAAGTCAAACATGCTCTAGATGTTCGTTTTAATCTTATTTTTGTGCATTTGTTTGATGATAATGATTATGACAATAACTTTGGTTTTGGTAAATAGAAACTCCTTACAGGTAATTTGGTTATGGTTAGAGGGGAGAAAATTTCTAAATTATTTTTAATTAAAGCTTTGGTTACTAAGGATACTATGGATGTTATGTATGTGGAGACATTTTTATGGCATTGAAGGCTTGGTCATATTAGTGAAAAAAGATTTAATTATTTAGCTAAAAAGGATATGTTTTTTTATTGAAGGGTGGAGAGTTAGAAAAATATTCTTATTGCATGACTCGAAAATAAACTATAGTATCATTCAAGAAACATTTTCCCTTAAAAAGGTTAGTATTACTTGAATTGATGCATTTTGATGTTTGTGTCTCATTGAAGGTAAAGTCTTTTATTAGTGCACTTTACTTTTATTGATGATTTTTCTAGGAAGTTATGGATCTATGTGCTACAGAGAAAGGGCCAAGTACTTGAAAAGTTTAAAGAATTTCATGTTTTTGTTGAGATGAAGTTAGACAAAAAGTTAAAATGTATTTGTATTACTAATAATTATGAGTATTATGAACCCTTTGATGTATACTGCAAGTAGCAAGGTATCACATATGAAAAGGCTCATCCTAAAACTCCTCATTTGAATAGTCTAGTAGATGAATATGAGGTTGAAAAGAGTTTGGTGTATGCTTTCTAAAGCAAATTTGCCTAAGCATTTCTAGGGAGAAACATTGCTTGTAATAGTGCATATTATTAATCTTAGTCCTATAATTGTTTTGGATATTGAGGTGTCAGAAAAAAATTGATTTAACAAGAATGTCAATTATGATCATTTGTGTGTCTTTGATTGCAAGACATTTATTTATGATCCAAAGGATAAAAATCCAAGTTAGATGCGAAGATAAGACAGTATATCCTTTTTTGTTATAATTAGGATGAATTTGACTACATGTTACAAGTTATATAACATGTTAAGAAGAAATTTATTATAAGTCATGACGTGTAGTTCATGAAAGACCAAATTATTAAAGGTATTAATAAAGAAGATTATACTTGAAAAAGATAACATTCTAACTAATGGTAATTTGATATGATTGTTTTTTCTTTCTCAATTTCGATAATGTTGAGATTGATGCTTAAAATGAAGAGCAACATGCTAATGTAGATGATCAATAGGTTGGAGATGGATTAGATGTTCAAATTGATGATGTTCAAGAGAAACTTGATTGATTTTAACTTTGTTCATGAAATAAAATATTTTAAATTTTTCTAAAAATTTTGTAATATAAAGTATAAACTTAAGTCATTCTTCTAAATGACACATATTAAAATATATTCAATTTCTAATTTTATGTCCAAAGAAGTTAAATTTGGGGATTAAAAAAATGTAAATCAAGAATTAAAAAATAAAATAGAACTCAAAACCAAAAACAAGAAGATAAAAATAGATCAATGCAGGATTTCAATAATAAAATAATTCTCTTATTATAGTTCTTTAAAAATTTTTATCTAAGTTTGAATAATTAATGGATTCAATTAATTAACTAATCCACTTATATGAATTAAATATTTGTCATTCAATCCAATTTTTGTTTAATTATAAAGAGTCAATTTATTAATCAATTTTATTTTTGCGCTTAAAATTGTTAAAAAATTACTTATAATTTGTGAGATATAAAAGCGGCAAAACTAATACAATAACAAGCTCATTTAATTTAAGTGCAGGTAATATGAACGATGAACATTAAAGGTTTTATCAAAATTTGAATCCATGTAAGAAGGAATTTGAATCAGAATCATAGTAGCAAAATTCTTCATAAAAAAAAAGAGTTATGATACTAAAAATAAAATTAATAAACTCCTTAAGCCTGTGTTTGGATCCACTGAAGTCATCTTTATGTAAATGAAAGAGCAAGGATGAAGTTTGTTTGGATCCAACGATTTGAGTAGATTTGCGAGAGTGGATTTAAGGGAGAGAGCCAATGAAGTACTCTCACTATAACTAGGAGAAGAGTGAACAAACACAGGTCATAGATGTTGCATTTACATTCTTACTCCTGTCAATAAGTCTCACGTGAATAATTGTGCATGACATCTTAAAACAGTTGTTACCAATGAATCTATTTACATTAACCATAATTTTGTTTCACATGACATCATTTTCATGGGAGAGGTGTTATTTGTGCGTGAGATGTGTGTTTGTGATAGATAATTGAATTTCTAAGTAAAGAAAATTGACTTTGAATAAAAAAAGGTTATAAAGAATCTATTGTCAATATTTATATAATCGATTATTTATGAATTAATTTAACGAAAATTGATTCTCACATTTGTACAATGAAAAATTATTCTTCACTTACAAGAATTTTGATTGAAAATTCTCGTTACAAAAAATCGATGATTAACTAAAGAGAATCAATTATATTTTATGTTAATTATTCAAACACAAATTTTTATGAATTTGTGCTACAGCAGTGATATTGCACATCTCAATAATATTACGATGTTCAAAAGGCCGATCCAAAATCCCTAGTTTATCAATCACTTGGTACCTCAGGTATTATCCTATTATTATTAGAATGAAGATCGATTCTTTAGTAACAATAATAATAGAATCAATTCATTATTATTATTATTATTATTATTATTATTATTATTATTATTAAACGTAATTTTATTATTATTATTAAACGTAATTTTTATGTTTAATAATAATAATAAAATTGATTTTATTAATAATAATTATTATTATAATTGTAAATATATAAATAATAATAATTATTATATTAATAATAATTAGATTAAAAATAAAAATAATTCGTATCATTATAATATTTTAAATAATAATAATAATATTTGTAATAATAAATGTATAAATTTATTATATTAATATTGATAATTATTTTAATAAAATAATTATAATAATTAAAAAATAATTTAAATAATTATAATATTGTAAGTAATAATAATAATAAATTTTATTCAAAGATAAATTAGTCATTTTATATATATCCTTTTTAAATATTTCTTTTTATCATTTACATCAATCAAATTATTCAAAAACTCTTATCAACTTTTCTTTCATTTTTTTTACACTTCTTACCATCTTTCCCTTAATAAAAAACAATCCACTTTCAATTTTTTCTCTCTTTAAATCTATCATTTTTTACTCCCTCAAATTCATCCTTTAATCTAAACACAGACTAAATAAAATAGTATATATAAGTTAAAAAAGTTTTTCTATTTTTTTTATATTAATTCACTTACTCGTTAATTTGATTCAAATATATTATTATATACGAAAAAATTAATAAGAAATAATATAAATGATTATAAATATTTTTAATCAACCAAGAAAATACACAAATATGAAAAAAATATAGTTTTAACATAATATAATTAATTGTATTATGTATATAATCATTAATTATATTATATAAAAATCATGTTAACTATTATTGTAAGATTTTTTTTTCAAATCTTATTTTTATAATAAAGAATATAGTCTTTTGAAAAAAACCAATATTATTTTTTTTACAAATTTATTTATTTATTTATTTATAAGATAATTATAATTAATTAAAAATATTCTAAAAATGTATATATAACTATTTGTATATGACACGAAAAAGTTTTTAATGAGATTTATGAATAAAACTTTGTTACACAAAATTTGTGTAACAAAATTAGCAACATGAAGAGAAGTTTGATAAATTATTCAAAATGAAGAATATACAATGAGTGAATGCAGCAGCAGTAGCCACAAAGTATCATGATTTATAAGGCTTACAAAGAGAGAATAGAGTTTTCGAAAACAGAAACCTTAGATGAGTTCTCCAAAAGGGAAAAGGAAAAGGAAAAGGAAGGATGAGAACAGGTTCATGAAACATATATAGAAGTGTTTCCCCATTGTTCTGCACCACATTATGCAAACTTGGCTCAAATGAGGAGCAAGTTTTTCACAACAACGCACGGGTACGGGGTTGAATGCGAGGGTGGTCCCAATCAGTCACAATGTGATCACGAGTGATTTCCTTCAGTGAACGACAACCACTCAAGGCCATGGTTAGCTCAAACTCTTCACGTAGCATCTGCAACACTTTTCTTACACCAGCTTCTCCGTCAGCAGCCAAGGAGAACACCACAGGGCGTCCAATCTAATATACAACAAACCTTGTTAGCTGTTACCACCATAGTTTAGTTTCTTATGCTTATGATGACATACTAATATAGGAGTATCTATACTAATATATATGTGTTTTTTAAATGTGTGTTTGATGCACAACTATAATGTAGGCTGCACATTGTTTAGTGATCCTTCTGCATGAATAATAGTGTGTTGACATTAATATATTAAAAAGTGTGTTAAACCAAAGGTGCCCGCCCACCAAAAAAAACAAAATGAAAGCTAAATAATTTGTTGATCATTTCAGATTTAAATTTATGATAAAATTATGAATTTTAGTGTAGAAGTTAAGTTTTGGTTTTCATTGCTGATATAAAAAAACACCTTCTAATGGAGTATGACTGTTATCTAACTTTTTTTACAGTGATAAGCCATCACAAAATTTGTTCAAAGACTTGACCTTTTCTTGAGTAGGAACTGAAATTTGAGAAAGAAATAATGAAGACTAAATTATAGATTTAGGTTATGTTGGGATAGGTGCAAACAAATAAAATGGAATATAATGGAGATTAGAAAAATTTATTCTATCTTGTTTTATTGTTCACTTCCATCCCTTCCTAAACATATCTAAACAGCGGAATGAAAGTTTTGTTCCTTTTATGTTCTATTTTACTTCTTATTATTATATGGCCTTTCTTTTCATCCATACGAACATATATGCAGGGTCTTAAATTTGGTTTTGTATGTTTATTTCATTAAATGACATGGAAGTGAATAATATGGACATGGGATCCAAATTTGTTTCTTGGCTATTACAACTGAACTTAGAATTCAATAAAGTATAACAAATCAAAAGGGAACTAACATGTGATGATGCTATTCCTATATAAAAAAGCCAAAAATTATAAGAGTTCATGAAATACTCACAAATATGCCAGAGGCACCTAGTGCCAATGCTTTGAAGACATCAGTTCCACGGCGAACTCCACCATCCAAAAATACAGGAATACGACCTTCAGCAGCTTTGACAACCTAAGTTTCCACAACAGAAATGTATATAACAGCCTTAAATGAGTGTGTAGAAGTTTGATGGTGACGCTACTTAAGTTAATGTACCTCTTCTAAGGCTGATATGGTGGCTGGAACATAGTCAAGTTGTCTAGCTCCATGGTTGGATACTATTATTCCAGCTGCACCACTTTGTACAGCTATCCTTGCTGCCATAGTTGAAATGAAGACATTGGTAAAATATTCGAAGAGGGTGAACACATGAATACAACTCTGGTTTTCCTTACCATCCTCAGCAGTCAGCACACCCTTCACCAGAATTGGCAGTGAGGTGATTGTTTGAAGCCACTTCACATCCTACAGAGTTCACAATGATTATTTAGATGGACTCTATTCAGTTGAGCTTTGTAAATTTCATAGTATACAAAAAAATTGTGAAACCAAATGTAAACTATGATAAAGTTGAACTTTTTACTCTACACTCCCATGACGGATGCAAAAATGTTCTTTCAATATTTGTCTAAGGTCAGATTGCAAGCAATTTATGAATGAGATCAATGAATTGGGAAAATAGATTTGCCACTTGAGTTTTATGTAGTGCACTATTAATTTTTTTTACATTGTCAACCCATTAGAAATCATTGAGTATGACTTCTAAAATTACTGTAATAAGTCATTAACAATTTTCCATACATGACAATTTATGATTAGATATAATTTACTTGAATAAACTGTTTTGTTATAGGAACAGAATTATTGATTATCTAACATACCTTCCAGCTTAGTGTGCGATCAATTTGACCAGCAACATATGAAGCAAGTCCAGAGTCATTAGCCTGAAAGGATCAAGACAACAATTAAATTAGTGATAAAGAAAAGGAAATTAACCTACAGAAACAATTATGTGATATCTCATCTTACTTTGTCCATCTTTCCAAGGTCCAATCCTTCGAAGTTCTTCAATGTCAAAAATGGTGGCAGTGTGAATCTGTGAGATACGTTTTAGAACTAATTTTAATTGCAAGGATACAGCTGAAACTCAAAGAAAAGCTACTCATATCCATTGAGAAAGTAATATATAACTAGTTTGAAGTGGAAGATTTGTACCTGTTCTTGATATCAGCCTCTCTGCGTCCTAGTATTGGGGTATCAACTGTGAGGGCAATGGCCTTGAATCCAGCCCTTTCCGCTCTTCTCACAAGCTGAGCAACCACATTCCTGTCCCTGTACACCTAGAGAAAGAGGAACATCCGTTAGAATTTAATTGTGAATAGAAGTCTCTCATTGGTAGAAATTGTGAAGTTGAATTATATGTAAGTTGGAAAAACTCACAAATCTATCGTCTTAAGATTTTAGATTAAATGTTAAGTCGTATTCTTTTATATGTTTATCTTGTGTTTGTAGTCTCTCTTGGTTAAACCCAATAGTGGTGTTAATCCCCTCCTAAAATCCTAATAGTGGGCATCGGAGCTGATGGTTAATATGTTGACCAGCTTAGTCGAGTACAATGTAAAGGTTATTGCTAATGCAAAACGTGTCCCATTGTAATAAATGGTAGTACTAGTAAGAGACCTCATTAAGATGTGTGTATCCCTAGCAAGGGTTATTATGGAAGTACTCATGGTTAAGAAATACTTCCATCTGAGGGGAGAGTGTTCCTATGTATTGAAAATCACACTTGAAAGGGGAGTGTTATAGTTCAATTGTGAATAAAAGCCTCACATTTGATAGAATCTATTGCTTTAAGGTTTTGGATTGAAGGTAAAGTCATGTTCTTTTATATGTTCATATTGTGTGTAGTCTCCCTTATTTAACCCGATAGTGGTATAACCCCATCATAAAAATGCTAACAAGAGACCGTAAGGAAGAAAAACTATGGTACCAAAAATTCAAATAAAGACTGAAATGGAACTGAACAAAGTTTTTCTAGCTTACATATAGCTGGAAAAAGCGAATGCCAGGTCCAGTAGAAGCCACCTCTTCAACACTTGAAGTGGCCCATGAGGACAAAGTCTGAAAGGACCAAAATGTTAATCAACAAAAAACACAGATCATATCATAGCTCAATGGACATGCATAGATAAACAACAAATAAATTTACAAGAATACAATGAGCGAAAGGTATCATGTAAAAGGGAAAAAATAACATATTCTTAGCAAAAAGACAAATGGAATTGATCCATTCATAAAGAAGGGATTTTTCTCACTAGTGATTGTAAATTTCTTTTTGCAAAAGTAATTTGTCCAAAATATATGGTGATCAATCAAGTGAAGAACTACAATAGGAATATAAACATAAAAGAAAAGTACCATGATTGTTCCAGCAGCAGAGGCAGCTCTTGCTGTGGCATATTCTCCTGCACAATAAAAAAATATACATCATCCAACATAAATCCAGCTTTAGTTTAACAGTGCTTGCAAAGGGCTTTTAGAACTAAACTATTCCATATAAAGAAAAGTTAATAAATTTAAATTTCATGCTACTACCCTATTATTGTAATATTTCCCAATAAAAAAGCCACAAATGTTGTTATCCATTTATCATGACTAGATGATAAGAATTTTCTCAGAATTACTGATGACCAATCACATTTGACTCCTGTATAATCTTTTTGCCTATAACAAATAGAGTCACATAACAGAACTATGAAACAGGTGATGATTATGTAAGACATTAATTGATGGCACTACATGTTTGATGTTTTATTGAACTATATGTCTAATAAAAAAGAAACAATGAAGGCTTAAGTAAAAAGTGCAATTTAGTTTCTTTGAAAAAAACTTCTGAAATATTAAAAGTGACAGAGGTCTTTGTTTGGTTAATCATATTAGTCTTTCCTTTTGGCAAAATGCACACTAACCACAACTGAAAATTTACCAGTCCAAAAGAAAATGTTAAGGTACAAACAATTATACCCTCAGGATGAGCCATTTTCTGCATGGCTGTTGGGGCAATCATGATTGGCATGGATATTTTGAAGCCCAGGACAGTAGTTGTCATGTCTATCTTACTCACATCAATAAGAATACGAGGCCGAAACCTGTATGTATATTTGTCGATCATATTTTTAGCATATCAACATGTGCTTATATTCTTAGAAATACAGGTACATGAAATATCAAAGGAAGGAACATAATTAATCATTATAGCTCTGTAACTAACACTGTAAAAATATAAATCTTACAAAATTCTGGTAAAGGCATTTCTGTTCTCTTGCAGAGTCCACTGGTCCTCTGCACCAGATGCGTAGTAGTCAAACACCATCTTTGGCAATTTCTGCTTTGCAATAGCCTCATACTCACTGACATTGGTGATCTCCATTTTCACAACGGGTTGTTGATGCTACCCTTTTGAGGAATTCTACACAAAAAATATGCATATCTTCAGCTATCAGTTTTTGCATCATAATCTATAGCTATAAGGTTTAAGATATTGCAAGAAACTATGGGCTGGTAGAGGAAGAAAACTACCTTACCAATCCAAAACTTTGGAATAATCTTAATAATTAATTTTGTGGCAGATTTCAGTAGTGAAAATTTTCAAATAAACAAATAATTGGAAGTTGGAAAATATCTCCTTTATATTTCCTAGATTTTGGGTTAGGAGAAAACTAAACATTTTGGATAATGGAAATTAAAACTCAAGGACAAAAATACTGGATAAGATGAGAAAAAGGTATTGCCAAGAAAATCAAAGCTACATGCTACGGTTTTCCTCTAATATTTCAACTTAGAATACTCCCCCATCATTGCTTGGCTGAAGCCTTCTAAAATATCTACAAAAGCATGGTATTTAAAAGGGTATAACAGCATGTATAAATAAAAAAGGATTAAGAACAAAAGCAGATGCAAAGAAGATTGATGCTATGAGCTATCCCATCACAAAACCTGGTTCAGCTCGTGAGCCTTAAACTCATGCACAAAGTCAGTTAGGAAAACACGACCAATATTGAAATATTGCATACACAAAACACAAACACACTGTTCAATCTTCATTTCTGCTAGAGTCTGTCTAAGAAAGAAGCATGGTTATAAAGGTCACATGAAGTGATGACATGTTGAGCATGGAAACAAACTACTTAACTGATGAGAAACAAGAGCATACCTTGGTATCCAAAACTATGCAACTATGTGCATGCAGAAGCACAATGGAGAGAAGCTCCTAGTGAGGAATAGAAACAGAAGGAAGTGAAAAATAGCAAGGGTTGATAAATACGTGGTGGAATAGAGACAAAGTTAGTTGGCCCTCATACTTGTTGTAACGTGTATAGGTTCAAAAGAAGGAGAATTGGAATTTTCAAGTGGATGAGCTTTCGGAGGTGAGAATTATTTTGAGCCAAATCTCATCAACAAAGTGAGGTGGTTCTCAGCCACAAAAACCTTGTGTGTTTCACAGCACTCTTTTCTTCTCCATTATCATTTCCATCTCTAAATTCGAAAAAGATAAATAACCAAAAAAATAGAGAGAAACTGTTTGTATTGATCCTATCTTTTTCATATACGTTTGGAGTCATGAAAACAGAAGAATAGTTAGTACCCTCTTCAAGTGGGTTGGCCATTGCCTATAGATAATGTAAAATATGCAGTGCCATATATCATCTTACTAAGAAAATATGTGACATCACTTCTCATTACCCATTTTCAAAAAAACTTACATGGTTACTATTTCTCGGATGATTGGTTTCATATTTGGGAGGTGATATTTCACATTTCGAGTCATATCATCCACCTTTTAAGATTTTAGTGGGCTAATGTTATAATCATAAGTGATTAAAAAATGAAACTATTGTATGAATATTACTTCTATTACATCTCTAATGCAATCTTACATGAAAATTACTTTCACTTTGATATTATATGATTTTAGTTAGAGTTAAATATGTTTTTACCCTTATATTTCTTTGTTAAATACAATTTTTGTTTTTATAAATCATTGATTGGTTCTTAAACTTAAAAGAATGGGTGAGTTTACTTCTCTTATTAATTTTATAATAATAAAAAATATTACTAAATATTAAATTCAAATATAAAAAATGAAAAATTACATTTAATCTTTTTATCAATTTCGTTGAGATAAAAAAATTATTATTAAATCAAGTATTTATGAAAATTGAAGAATTGTATTTCTAAAACATATTTTCCCATTTTTAATATATTAACAGTTGTTGTATCATTTCCTGCACACCTTTCCTACTTAAATAAATGTAAAATTTGTTATTTAATTTTTGTATATGAATGAATAATAGTCCAATATCAAAAGATCTGATAATAAATTCTTAAGGTTGTTAAGATAATGTTTTGATATAAAAATATGTGACGACCAAATGCTATTGACAGCAATTCAGCCACAGATGTCAATTTTCTCATATCTTACGTCTACGTCCAATTTTTTGGTTAAATTGTTATCCCTTTCTTTTTCGGAATTATCTGCAGCTCAAATTTGAACCCTGGAGGAAGATCAAAGGGCACAAAATTTATTCAACACATTTAGCCCTAATATATTAACATAAAACAAAATATAATAAAGGTGAAAGATCTCGTGTAGTTATTTTCAATACGGAGTTCTGAATCCCGATTCATCTTTTTGTTTTCTTTCAATTTTTCATTTACTGCAAAAAATTAATATAGAAATCTCGTAATTAAATTTTAAATTATAGCTGTTTAATTTAATGTAATTATGGATTTTTTTATTGGGTAATTTAATTGTAAATTAAATCTCATATTAAATAAAAATAAAAGAATTAAGTAATATATAAAAAAATATGATCATATTTTTTAAGTTTTTATCAAGAATAGTGTCAATATTTTATAGTGTATTTTTCTCTTTTGAATATCCGAAAAGACCTAACACCTATTAATTGGAATAAGAATGTCTGAGGGGAATGTAATGTAACATGAGAGAGATGGTTTTTTAGTAAAAATTTGTCTATCATCTATTTTTATTTTTTTTAATTTATCTCATATATTTGCTCAGATCTATCTTTGTTGTTCCAACATATAAGGAGTTTTGAAACTAAAATAAACAGTTGATTGATTGCTACTTGACGACCTCGGTAATATACGGAAGAAGATAAAGCTTGAAACCGAGTTATTTTAGCTCGTTAATATTTACATTTATATATCATAAATTATCTACATTGAAGATAACTTTGATGATAAAAATTAGGAGTATTTATATTATCGTATTTATAATTTGTTTTAACTGTTGTGTAATATGTAAATCGATTGATAACTATTTTCGAAGAGAGGAACAATTTGATTAGGATTTTAAATTTATCTATTTTGAATTCTAGTATAATTTTATCTTTAAAATATATTTCAATATAAGTTATGTGTCTTAACTCTTAAGACTCTGTAATAAATATCCATGCAAAGTGAATCAATCTATTCCGAATAAAATTATATTAAAATTCTTTAAGTAACCTATTTATACATTAAAAATATTGCTGGATAAAATTAATGAATATTTCTTATTAAGAATATAGTTTAAAAAATCAACCAATCAAATATTTTTATCTTTTTATGTTTTTTAATTAAATAAAAATAATAATAGAAAAATAGGGTTCAAAATAATAATAAAATATTTTCTAGATAAACTAATACTAAGTTAATTATATTTAAAGGAGTACAAACGAATTGACTTAACCAAATTAATTATTCAACACAATAAACAAAATCTGGTGTTAAGCTTCCAACAAAAGTATCTCGGTTAGGTTTTTTATTTTTTAAGACAGAATCCAATCAACCCATGTTTGATAAAATTAGATGGAGTTGAGTCATAAATTTATAAAAATATATATTTTTATTTGTAATTGTGCTCTCTGTTGGTCTTAGTCCCATGCCAACTATGTGTTTGTAAAATTGCGTGTGAGGAAGAAAAAAGGCAAAAGAGTACGAGGAAGATAAGCTGTTATCTACAAGGTTGTAAGGTTATGGAAAGTAGTAGAATAAACTTGGTGCTTCATCAGGGTTTAGTGTTGCCCCATGAACTTCCTGTAACTTCTCTACTGGGACATGCAAGCTTTCATTCATTTTCTTCAACTTGGGTTATTACTAAGGGAGCCATTCATGTCTCACTACAAAGGTGGAAGTGCAGTGCTACTTGTTGTTATTGCTTCAGTTTCAGGAAATGTAGATGCCAGTGGAAACGGCTTGAAAGAAGCTGCTCTAGCAGTGAGTTTGTTATTGCCAGTGATGAAAATTATGGCAATAAGCAGGTTGTTAGTCTCACTCCCGGCCTCTACGACTATGTCCTAAAAAATGTTCGAGAGCCAGAGGTGAGAACTTAGGAACATACCCTTTTGCTTTATGCGTTGTTTAATAAGAAAAAAATCATTTGTGGGAGGGAGAGGGTGTTTGAATTCTGATGTCAACTGTGAAAAACTGTGTATCTTAAATTGCCCTTTGTCCTTATTGTAAAGTGACTGCACTTCAGATTCTAAGGCAATTGCGACAGGAGACAGCCTCTATGCGTGGAAGTCAAATGCAGGTGCCTCCAATAATTTAATTCTTATGCAACTTGACTTGCACAGTTTACTAATAGAATTGTTAATATTGAGCTTATGCTTGCATATTATATCTTCTTCACTAGGCAAGCAGGGGTTTCTATTTCACCTTTGGTTTTATGAAAGTGAGTAGCAAAATTGTGCTGTTTATTCATTATTTGTTCAATTGATATGCTATACACAATTAATAATTTCTGTTGAACATATTGGTCCGTCAATCCTTGAATAAGAACAAATAATGAATAATGAGCAGAATATTTTGAATCCTCGATCCCAAACATATTGGTATGCTTGTAATTATGAATATGCAAATTATGTTCCTTTAAAGCTTAAAGCTCTGCAATCGCATAAAAACGGTTTGGTTATTTCAATACTACTAGAGTTAATTTATATGTTATTGTTGAAATGAACATGATTGAACTACAATCTCATAACATGGAAATAAATCCAGTTTAACAATTTTGTTGAAGACGGAGGGTATTCTTGTGTAGGACCACATAGTGTTCCTTGTTTGTTAACATTTTGGTACTAGTGTTTAGATATCCTGTCTGGTATCAAGTTTGAATTTGTGAAATTTGATGGGACAAATAAAGAATTGTGCTGGAAAGAATGTACAGCAGTCTCAGTTGTCTTTCTATCTTGTCTGTCATGTTATACATTGTAATCCCACTTGCTTAGCAAGAAGTAAAATGTTGACATTGTTTTGTCTTTTCTGTAGGTATCCCCTGATCAGGCACAGCTGCTTGCAATGCTTGTGCAGATTCTTGGAGCAGAACGGTGTATTGAAGTTGGCGTTTATACTGTAGGTACTTCATTTTATATACATCATGCACTAGTTTTCTTAATGTTACATAGTATATTAGGCCACTTCTCTTCCATTATGTAATTAGGTCTTATATTGTTAATTTGATCCAGGGATACTCATCACTAGCCATAGCATTGGTTCTGCCAGAATCAGGTCATTTGGTTGCATGTGAAAGAGATTGCAAATCTCTTGATGTTGCCAAAAAGTATTATCAGCTAGCTGGTGTTTCCCATAAGGTATATATGCTACAATTTCTGTTTATCTCTTTGGAATATGTGTGCTCTTAGTATATTATATTTATGTACTGCCTGTAATTTCTGATGGTTTTACATAACTGGCTCTAGGTGGAAGTAAAACTTGGACTTGCAATGGATTCCCTAGAATCTTTAATTCAGAATGGTGAAGCTGGAAGGTACTTGGATTTTCTCATTTTCAACATCACTATGATGTGTGATTTGATATTTCACATTCGGTTGTGGTTAGGAGCTCTTCCACATTTGTTATTTTCACTTTAAATAGTTATTGTTAATCAAGGATCCTGTCTATATGATATTGTTCTATTCAAGAATTATGCAATCTTAACTAGCTTTGGTTGAGTTCAAATGAGAAAAACCTGGCGCTGCCTTACCCTCAGGTTTCCTTTTGTGGAGTTTTAGCTGCTCTGGGTTTTAAACCTAATGGGGTTTGAGCCCTGATGAATGAATATTTACTAGCTTGATTCTGTGCAATTTTATGGTAACTATTCTTAATTGTGAGCGAGATTTCCAGAGTTTGTGTTACTCTATGATTCCTTCCTGGTCAGTAGTGATCGGGTATTAATCCGATCCTAGGCCTCGTTCATGTTCCGAATCGCTTAAAAAGGATGAAGATATAAACATTAAAAACAAGTAAAATAGAATTTAAGAGATATTATCTTTTCATGCAGCTATGATTTTGCATTTATTGATGCCGAGAAAAGAATGAACGAGAAATATTTTGAACTGCTGCTGCAGCTGGTAAGAACATAATAAAACAGTCAAAGACGTTCGGATCCTCTTATGCTTCTTATCTCAAGATCTTTCATAAGCTTGCATATTGGGTTCCTATGAACTTTTATACTGATGCACGGAATAATTTATTGTTGCAGGTGAGGGTTGGAGGTCTTATTGTAATTGATAATGTCCTTTGGCATGGAAAAGTTGCTGACCCTTTGGTGAATAAATTCTTCTGTGATCTCCTTTTTTTCCAGTCATGTGAACTTGATTTAATGTACTTTGTGCAGGTATATGACCCTAAAACTATCAGCATTAGAAATTTTAACCAAAAGTTAATGGAAGATGAGCGTGTAAGCATTAGTATGGTAGGTTTATATATACCATTTTTTCAAATTATTAATACACTTTCAGAGAAAATCTATCAAGTTGATTTATAATCGGTTAACAATTTTGGAGTGTCTCAGGTACCTATTGGAGACGGGATGACAATCTGCCGAAAAAGTTGACACCCATTTTTGAGTAACTTTTTGGTAAGTTTTATGCAATTGAACTAACAGCCTTTAGGGTTAATGCTTCTGTGAGATATGAGGAAAGAAATATGTATGATTAGCACAAAATTGATTAGATGTTCTTAAAACTTTGGAGTTGCAATGCCCTTTCTCTTGGGCTTCTTTTGGCAAGGGTCTGAGAACTGTATACTGATGAATATCATTTTGGCTTCAAATGGAATACGGTAAACTAGATTTATATGATCTTCTCTACCACAATTTTTATACGCACTGAAGGTAGCAGCATAACAAGTCTGGAATTCAGTGATCTATTAGTAACACATTAATTAACTCATTCTTTCAAAAAAAAAAAAAAATATTACTGTTAGTTGAAAGTTGTTGAAAATGATATAATCAAGTGAGTCTCACTCCATTTCACTTACGGTTTCATTATTTCAAGAATTTTCTTTTACAGTTATTTCAATCAATTTTAAACAATAATAATGAGCATGTTAAAAAAATGTAACTATTGAGGACCAAACTCTGATAATACCTATCTAAGCTTGGAGAATAAAGTTCAGAGAGAATGCTTTCATTTGCGATGTAACAGGAGCTCAAGCATTTGCTAAAAGCTTAGGTACTGATTCCCTTACTTGCTGAGAACACACTCCAGCATTTACCCAAAAGCTCCCTAATCTGTTTGATCATTGCATGCGGCGGATTCCTATTATGATATGTAATTATAAGGGTATCCTTGTCGTTTATCTAAAAAAACAATACATTTTCCATGCATTTGGTCGGATTTTGTCATTTAGTGGTTAGGGTATATAATAAGATAAGTATATTTTTACCTTATAATCAATTGTTTGGTGTATCAATAGTATATGATTTTTTTATATTTTGTCTACCTATCCGTTAAGTGTAATATCATCGTTTATATAGTTTTTTCATATGCAAGTTATTCAATATTTTAATTTAAGATCCTAACAATTTTTTCAATAAAGTGTAATTCTCTTTTTACATTAATACACTTTTCCTTCCAACGAACTAATATTTTAATCATAAATACTTAAAGTAGTGATTTTACTTGTATTATCATTTATATAATGAGACTTGTTTGTCTAATCATCTACTTCAATTGTTCTTTATTAAGTCATCCATCATGATGAATTATTTGTTATTACTGTTAGTATTTGTGAGAAATGTTAATATTGAGAGATTTTCATAATGTCTATATAAGAGAATGAGTTAACCATATGAGTTATTGATGAAAGGGCAAGATTTTCATCATTAAGATACAAGTTAATCATACAATCTTTCACTAATAATTATTATTTTGTTATGATCATCACTTATATTTTATCATGTTATCATCAAATTAATCCTCCAGATATAAAAAATGTTTTTTAGTATAATATATAAAAAACTATCATTCAATTAAATTATATTGAATATATAAAAAATAATTATTTAATTAAATTATATTTTTATATAGAAAAGCAAGCAGATAAATCTTATTGAGACAAAACTTTCATTTGAAAAAAATAAATATTCAATTACATTATATTTCCCTTAAAAAGAGGCACTACTAAATCTTATTTTGAAATAGAAAAGTTCAGTTGTATATTTATTTACTCTAACATAAGTATATTCGGTGGCGGAGGTATTATTAGTGGTTATGAGCATTAAATATCTTATATTTTCCTTTGGGGATCAGAAACTAATTTTATATATAAAATTTGAAGAAAATGGAAAATTTTGGGATGTCAGTCACCATATTTTTACGGAGAGTCATGGGTTCTAAAATTTTATTTCTTTTTAAAATTTTAGATATGATTTTTTTTATGGTTTTTTTATTTTAAAAAATTTACATTGATCCCCTCTGTTTTTAATTCTACCTCTCTCTCCGCCCCATGAATATATTGATCAATATATAATTTTTCTTTAATCTCAATCTCTAATTACTATTTTAAATACCCTATTTACGAAATAGTTAAATTTAGTTATATATTTTAAAAAATCTTATTGTTTAATTACTATTATATTTCAAACTTATTAATTTTTTTAAATTAAAAACATTAAACTAAATTTAAAAGTAAATTTTTACATACTTTTACTATTTCTAATTAAAATAATATGTTTGTGTTTTTGCTTTATGTATCTCCTACTAATTTGTATTTTTTTTTCTTACATCAATTATCCCTTTTGTTAGAAAACAATTCTGTTATGTAATTTTTATTTTCTTTCATTTTCTAAATCTTAATTTTATTAAAAAAAATACAATTTATATTATTAATTTTTAAAAATACATATAATTCGTTAAAAATGTTTATTTTACAACATATTTCTTTTACCAATTAAAATTATGTTTTTATATTTCAGTAGACTGTATTTAAACCATTTATTTCCTTTCACATGTTCTTTATCGGGTACTCTTCCGGACAAATGTGTAATCGTGTGCCTCTTTCTTTCATTACCTTACCGGGTATCGAGACCCGACCCATTTTGGATTCCGGTTTCAAACGCATCTTTGAAAAAAAGCAAAGAGTCAGTGAAGTCATAAGCTGAAACACGAAACATCGCTGCTTTTGCATCAATGGCGGATCTGAAGACTGATACTTTGCGCACCTACGCTTACATTCTTCTCTACATTGCTCTCTCCAGCGGGCAAATCTTCTTCAACAAGGTTATCGCCAATCACTTCAAACTCATGCACTCTCTTCTCCATTTGTTTCCCCGTAAAAAAGAAAAATGCGCGAAAATGCTTTGTCAGAAGTATAACACGAATATCGCTCCGTTTTGATTTCGAAGCTAGGAATCGATGTTCTGTTTGCGTGTTCCTGTTTTAATTTGTTTTCTCCTGTTCTGTGAATTGTTTTGCCTAAATTTGCGGCGTGCGTCGTTGATTGGAATTAGATACGATGATGAGTGATTTGTCAGTTGAGATTGTGAGTGGTAGTTGAGCATTTTGTTCAATTGGAACGGAAGCGTTTTAATTTGGCTGTTTCTGGGGTATGGTTCAGTATAAGAGAATTGAGTAATTTAGCAAAATTTTCTTCGGAAGTTTTGATGTCGTGTCTTGTTCGCGAAATGATGTCGGTGAATTGGTAATGGCAGAGTGCCTTGTGTTAGAGCTTGTCGTTTGGATTCTGATTTTAGATATTTATGTTTTGGCTGTATCTTGGAGTGATTTTTGGAAGTGTTATTGTTTCCTGTTTGATATGCTTAATTCGTGAGTGATTTATTTGAGGAATGAATAGTTGAGGAGAAAATGCTTAAAATAAGTCTTGTTATGTGGCTGATGCCGATTTTGTCTTTTCAATTTGTGTCTGCAGTGGGTTTTGTCCTCTAAGGAAATTAACTTCCCTTATCCCTTGGGATTGACTCTACTTCACATGGTCTTCTCCTCTGTTCTGTGTTTTGCGTTAACCAAGATTTTGAAGGTATGTATATTTTGCTTAGTGTATTGTGTTATTTAATCGGTTTCTGTCATGCAATGCTGGTTAATGATCTGTTTCTTACAGGTTATGAAGGTCGATGAGGGAATGACTCCAGAAATGTGAGTAAATAAAGAAACATTGTATAGTTAATGCTTGATTTGAGATAAGATTTTTACATATGAAACAATTTTGATTGTTATACTTTCTCTGGCTGTTGGTGCCTCATGATATTTTAAAAGTGGGATCTTGTGACAATTGCTGATTAAGAATAATATCGTTAAAAATTCCATTTATGGTTGTGCGCCTGTCATCTTTGATCACATTTATTGTTTTTTATCATTATCTCTAAATGATGTGGAACTTGGGTTTTTATCATTACCTAATTAACTAATTTTTACACTCCAATTATCCACTTGAAGCAAAATCATTGGAGATATTACAACATATGATATGATTGATCTGTAGAAAATAAGCAATAATACACGGTGCATGGATAGAATTGGATGATTGACCGTTTAAATTCACATTATTTGATATGATATGGCAAACTAGTGTCGGTATCATGTAATGAATTGCAATATGCATATGACATTGAGATACATGAATGAACTTGTGTGATCCTGTACCACTTAATGATATTATTTGCACGATTCAATGAAATATTGATTTATTGTTTTTGCTTTTTTTTACCAATTGTCATAATAGAAATTAAAGAGTTAGACAAGTTTAAATTGTTAAATCAAAAGGAACTGAGAGACTGCTACAGAGCATACCCTATTTGATTCATCTATTGCTCTATTTTTATTCTTTGGAGATAGGGGCTTGGCTTCCCACACTAAATCTTTCCATAAGCACATTATTTGGCTATATATCATTACTCTGCTTTTTCTTTTTCTTTTTTCCCCAGAAACATAAGCTTCAAGCAGTCACCTGATGTGACTTCTAAGGTGAAGAAAAAGGGAAGAAGGATATACCTTAGAATATTGTACTAAATGAACTGTGTCAAATGTAATTATCATCCAAAACTTCAATGTGTAATGGTGTACATAGAAAGTTAGGATGAACTGACACTTAGCGATGCAACTCATATCTTAAGAAACAGCTTGGATACTTACGAGTCTTTTATTTTTTTTTACTTTTCTGTATGACTAAGTAAACAACAACACGTTATGATTTATGATTTTGTCTTAAGAGACTTATGGTTCAAATGCTTTGTCCTTTCCTTGATTAAAATTATTACGTTAACCAATGTAATCATTTATATGTTATATTTCACATGATTGTTCATTGTTCTTTTAATCTTTTGATTAAATTCAAATTTTGATTGACGATTCAAGAATTAGCTTGTCGGTTCTTGATTTAAATTGTTTTTCTAGTGTTGAGTAATTTTAGGATTAAATCTTGGTTTTGAATTGAATGTTCTTGTTCTCTTTCCTTGATGTCCCTAGTAGCCTTGTGAAACACAGGTTAATTGTGATATATAACACTGGTAATTTTGTATAACCAAAAAATTAGTATTTCCAGGGTTGTGAGACATCAGCATGAGACTTAGATTTCTAGTTAACTAATTTAAAATGGATAATTACACTTTCAATATGTTGTGTTGGCTATTTCTGACAAGGATGCTAGCATTTTATTTGATTCTGTCAGTGAACTTTGTTTTAGAAGTTCATCTGTAATGTATTGATTTGAAAACTAGTGCTAATCTTGTTTCAAAGAAATTTCTGCATATTTGTTGAGTAGGTTCTTTGGGCTCTTTAATTGATATTTCTGTTGTCTTTTACATGGCTTTATTTATAAGATGGAACTGGGTCAGTTAAATGCTTGTGCCTATTCATGTACATCTTGCATGTGTGTCACATATGTCTATATTATTAACTTCAAGTCTGAAAAGAACAAAGTATAGGGTTTACAACACACGCAATTAACAAACGCAGGGGAGATCATGAGAAAGAAGAGAGTAGAGAGAGCAACTCTAGGTGCAAGGATATACACGAAGAAGTAGAGTTACAATTCAAAGTTTTGTCTAACCAATGATTTACATGGAAGCAATTCCTATATATAGGAATTGGTAGTTAAGGTAGTTAATAACATAAGACCAACAGAAAAGTTTATAACATTGCCCCCTCCATGAGATAAACCTTGCCCTCAAGGTTTAGAAGATGGAAACCACTGCTTCAAATCATAATAAAATTCCCAAGTAGCATCTTCTGGCAGCTGATGCTTCCATTTAACCTAAACTTTTGTCACTGGCATCCCCTTCCGTTTAACTATGACTCGATCTAGAACAGCCTCTGGTTCTTGGTAATTGCAATTTGTATGCTACTTGTCCCATTCGATCAATGATTAGGAATGGCCCATAGAACATGGGACAAAGCTTCATATTAGCTCTTTGTGCTACAGAAATTTGTCTATAGGGGTGTAGTTTAACATAAAATAAGTCCCCTGTGTTATAATTCCTGTCTAATCTATGTTTATCAGCATTCTGATTCATTCTATGTTGTGCCCTTCTGAAATGAAATTTAAGAATTTTCAACATCTCTTCTCACTTAGCTAAGCTCCTGTCTACTAGGTCCACCTTCGACTCTCTTGGTAGAAAGGAAGATAAATTGGTGAGGGTTGTCAAAACACAATCTCATAGGGAGTTGTATTTGTAGATGTATGGTACGTGCTATTATATCACCACTCTGCCAATGGTATCCATTTGCTCCATTGACATGGCGAATTAGAGCACATGCATCTCAGATATGTTTCTAGACACCTATTAACCACTTCCGTTTGGCTGTTTGAGGATGGTAACTAGAAGAATGTTGTAGTTGAACACCTTGGAATGCCATGAATTCCTTCTAGCATGTACTAATAAACATTGAATCTCTATCACTGGTTATTGTATTCGGAAAACCATGCAATTTGAATACATTATCCATAAATGTTTGTGCTACATCTTTTGTTGTATAGGGATGAGCCAAGGCCATGAAATGAGCAATTTTACTCAATCTATCAACAACAACAAATATGACTTGCTTACCCACAAATTTAGGTAATTCTTTTATAAAGTCCATAGAAATATCTTGTCAAACTTGTCCTAGAATAAATAAAGGTTTTAGGGTGAAGCCATTGTCAAGTTTTGATTTTTGACACATCACACAATGCTTAACAAAAGTCTTTGTATCCTTAGTCATGCCCTTCCAATAAAGGATTGAATTAACTATTTGCATAGTAGCATTTATACTAGAATGGCCACTAGTAGGGGAAGGATGGAGCCAATTTAGTATAGTCTAGTGTAACGTAGAATCGTTACCTACTACCAGTCTTCCTTTTCTTCAAAACTCACCATTAATCTAGCGATAGTGTTCGTTAGAACTAGGATTAGCTTGTAAATCCTGTAGTAGTTGTTTGAGATTAGGATTATTCAAATAGGCTTGATGAATTTTCTCTGACATCTTTGGCTTCATTTGATGTAGAATCATAGCATTACAATCCAATGTGCCTTGTCTTGATAAAGCATCAACTATGACATTTTCTTTGCCATTCTTATATGGAATGATAAAGTCAAACTCCATTAACTTGACTATAACCATTTTTATTGAAAGACTGTGGTGAGTTGTTGGTCCAATAGATACTTTAGACTGTAGTGATCAATCTTGACCACAAATTGAGTGGTTAACAAATAGTGCCACCACTTTTGCACAACAAATTCAACTGCAAGTAACTCTTTCTCATATGTGGAGAAAGATTGTTGTTGCCAACTAAGAGCCCTGCTTATAAAATCTATAGGATTTTGTTCTTGCATTAAAACAACATCTATGTTCATATTTGAGGCATCAACCTCAACTACAAATTTCTTTTGAAAATTTGGTAGTGCTAGCACTGGTGCCTTTGTTAAAGCTTCCTTCAATTGAGTGAAAGCCTGTGTTGCTATTTCTATCCAATTGAACCCATCTTTCTTCGAAAGTTTTGTTAATGATTTAGCTATCCATCCAAACCCAACAAATCTTCTATAATCACCTACTAACCCCAAAAAACCCCTCAATTGCTTAATGTTTTGAGGTACTGGCCAGTTCAACATAGCTTCAACTTTTGCAAGATCCATAGAAACTCCCTCCTTAGATATAATTCTACTCTATTAACAGCAAAGAAACTGTTGGACTATTTAGCAAATAATGAATTTGATCGCAGGGTAAAAAAAATTTGCCTCAAGTGATGTAAGTGCTCTTCCAAATCTTTATTGTATATTAGAATATCATTTAAGAAGACCAAAAGAAATTTCTTGAGGAATTGGTGAAAGATTGAAGTCATTTACCCTTGAAAAGTGGTTGGAGTATTTGTTAAGCCAAAAGGCATCACAATGTATTCATAGTGGCCTGCATAGGTCTTGAAGTCAGTCTTGTACACATTATCAGGATTCATTTTGATTTGGTATATAGCCAATCCACAAGTCAATTTTAGAAAAAACAAAAGATCTGTGTAGTTCATTCAGCAGGTCATCCATAAGTGGTATACAAAATTTATTTTTAACTGTATTCTTGTTAAGATCCCTATAATTCACACACAATGTCTAGGTACCATCTTTTTTTCCTACTAACACAACAAGGATAGTATAGGGGCTATTAGTGTATTGGATAATACCATTTTTAAAATAGTCTTGCACCAACTTATCTATTATATTTTTTTGAGATTTCACATACCTATATGGTGTCTTGTTTATGGGATTTGGGCCCTAAATAAGAAGAATTGTATGATCAAAACTTGGGCGAAAAGGTGGGAGTTCTGTCGGAGTCTGAAAGATATCTTCAAATTTAGTTAACAATTTTTGAATGGGTTTAAGAATGGATGGTGACTCAGCTTGAACTGTCAAAGCTTGTAAAATTCTAGTGTTGTTGGTACACAATTGCAACATAGAGAAATGTACTCCTCCTTCCATGACCTTAATAAACTGCTGTTTTGCTACAGTTTTGAGATTCTTTGTAGTAGGCCCTTGTAACACATGTTTTTTCCCATTGACTTTGAACTCCATGGTGAGGTTGTTAAAATTCCATGTAATGTCTCCCAATGTTACCAACCATTTCACTCTAAGAACAAGGTCACAACAACCTAAGGGAATCAGAAAGACATTAGAGGTGAAAGTAGTTTGATGGATCTGCCAAGAAAAATTCTTCTTCATGGAAGAAATGGTGATTTTATTGCCATTAGCTACAGTTACAGATAAAGGTTTTCTTTCTTCAATCAAACATCAAAACTTCTATATCCAAGAAGTTGTGAGTATTGCCACTATCCAACGTGCAGGGGGTATTTGTTGAAATAACTAGTGACTCTCATGGTTCTAAAATTAGCCACACCCATGAAGGCACTAACTGAAATTTGTGGGTCAACTTGGTCCATAGGTTTCTTGATCGGACAATGAATCTTGGACTTCAATAACATGGACTTGCAGTTTCTTGTGAGTCAAACAATGTTTAGTAGTGTACACTTCACAAAAATAACAAAGGCCTTTGGACCTTCTTTCATTCATAAATACTGGAGTGAGAGTTCTTACATATCGTAGTGGCAGAATTCTACTGCCTTCAAGATATTTAGGTGCTCCTTGTTTTTTTGAACTCATGGGTTTGTTTCCCAAAATCCCTTTGTTCTTGTTAAGATACCTAGAAGAATCCATAGTAGTAAAGGTATTGGATGCCTCATACATTCGAGCTAATGAAAAGGCTCTCTGAACAGTTGGGCTGAAACATTCTTATGATCATTCTTATGTCTTTTTTTAACCCTCCCACAAATCAACTCACCATTTAGGATTTTGATAGTTTCAATTTGTTGATAATAGTATCAAAAGCATCATAGTATTCTTCTACGGTGGATCAAGTCAATCATAGGATCAACACAAATATCTCCAAATCTTTCTTTCACCATAGCATTATAGCCTTTCCAAGAAAGCAAAGAACAATTAGCATATTTGGCCGTAGTGGTTTGCCATTGGGCTGCACATCCTTCTAAGTGCACAAATGGCTAATTGCACATGCATATCATCCGGGGTATTATCATGGAAAAAAAAAATCTCACATTGAAACAACCATTGTTCTCTGTTTTCGCCATTGAATCTTGGAAATTCAATGCGTAGAAGTCTTGTTCCACCAGAATAAGGTGTGGGTTTGTGAATAGTTCGTCCATTAGAATAATGGGCTTCATTGAAAGAAGATTGTGTGATGAATTCTTGGACAGTTTCTTTTAAGGAATCAACGAGCGTGCATTGAAAAGATCCCGCTGATTCAGTAAAACGAGCATCAAGGCGAGCGTCCGATCGTTCTTCCATTTCTTTAAAAACCACTGCAGTGCGTGTTCCCTCAGCCATCAAGAATCAACCAAGACTACTACCACCTGATAAGAACAAAGTATAAGGTTCGCAACACACAATTAACAAGCGCAGGGGAGATTAGGAAAAAGAAGAAAGAAGAGAGAGCAATTCTAGGTGCAAGGATATACATGAAGAAGTAGAGTTACAATTCAAAGTTTTGACTAACCAATGATTTACATGGAAGCAATTCCTATATATAGGAATTGGCAGTTAAGGTAGTTAACAATATAAGACCAACAGAAAAAGTTTATAACAAAGTTTGTGTACCTTAATAGTTTATTGCATTAAAAATACATAGGATGGCTCCAAATTCCAGTTGTAATTGTACCTTTATTGTTTCAGATATGCTACTTCTGTAGTGCCAATTGGGGCCATGTTTGCAATGACTCTTTGGCTGGGAAATACTGCCTACCTGTACATTTCTGTAGCTTTTGCACAAATGCTGAAGGCAATTAGTAAGTTTTAGTGATCATGTTGATTATTGTAATTGTTAGTTATCTTTGTCCAGTTATGATATCTGCCAACGGAATGTGTAATCACACAGTATGTATCTTGAGACATTTAAAACCATCAGATCTATTGGTTAAACATCTTGCATTAGTTGTACAAGATATACTATATAGTGATTATATATTTACACATTACTTCTTCTCCAATATGGCAACTAATTTGGTTCCTCAATTGTCAAACTCAGTGCCTGTAGCTGTTTTTGTGCTTGGAGTAGCTGTAGGACTTGAAGTAATGAGCTGCAGAATGCTTTCAATCATGTCAGTGATTAGTTTTGGTGTCCTAGTAGCTTCTTATGGAGAGATAAATATAAACTGGGTTGGAGTTGTTTACCAAATGGGAGGTGTTGTTGGTGAAGCTCTGAGACTTATCTTCATGGAGATTTTTGTTAAAAGGAAAGGTCTTAAGTTGAATCCTTTATCTGTGATGTATTATGTTAGTCCTTGCAGGCAAGTGTTTCTTTAACTCACTCACTGTTATGGAATTTTTTGAAGAAATCTGTGTATTGTGAATTAATTTCTGTGAAAGTAATTTTGGATCCATCTGCAGTGCACTTTGTTTATTCCTTCCATGGATATTTCTGGAGAAACCAAAGATGGATGAACATGGACCATGGAACTTCCCACCTATTTTGATCATCCTCAACTGCCTTTGTACTTTTGCTCTGAACTTATCAGTTTTCCTTGTGATTACGCATACAAGTGCTTTAACCATTCGTGTTGCTGGAGTTGTCAAGGATTGGGTGGTTGTCTTACTGTCTGCTATTCTGTTTGCTGATACAAAGTTAACACTTATCAATTTGTTTGGTTATGCTATTGGTAAGTATCTGATTCTGTTTTGACCTTTTAAAATTTCCGTCTCATTAGATATAGCCTTTGAGAATTTTTCATGACATTCCTACAAAGGCCGTTCCACCCTCCAGGCAAATTGATAACCCAGTCTTGTCTGCTCCCTGGAAGCTATGTGGCACTAACTTGCACACTTTTAAAAGCTCATGGAAGTAAACTTCATTTTTGAAATTAATGTGAGCAAATCTAAGGTCATTTTTGAAATTAATGGTTGGAGATTAACTAGTAGTATGCTGTTGATGGGACAAAACTAAAGAGGTTGTATTAATAGAAATTGAGTATACAAACGGTTAAGTGTAAAAGCAGAATCTCCCTGGCTGAGAAATGGATTCCTGGTCAAGAGCTATAAGTTGAGAACTATCAATCCCCCACTCTCTCTCTAGGACTTATTTTCTTTAATCATATTCACTTGTCTCTGAATTGACTTTCCCTCCTTAGCACACACCTTCCCCCTAACTAATTTAGGTCTATGCATATATAGTTTGTAAGGCCTTCTTTCTTCAGCAACATGAACCATGTATGTATATTAGAACAATTTCTCTTTTTTTAAATCCCTTTTCTAGGGTGAGAGTTGAGAGTGATGCAACATCTTCTACATTTGGTTTACCATTGGCTGTTGGTCCAAGTCGTTAGAAGCTTAGTTCTCCTTTGATAAAGCCTTAGGTTCAAGTGTTGTGGGGGCTAGGATAACTTTGCTCCCCTAATAGGACACTGATAGCCAGTCGGGGCATCAAGAGTCGTGGTCTCAAACCAAGATAATATTCGATATTTGTTTTTGGTTTATGTTAGAAGGATTTATAGTCATTGATGTATTGATCTGGAGTGTGGACTGATAAATTTGTTGATTAAAAGTAGCCAATATGATTAATTTTTGACAGAATATTTTAGAGTAGGCTATATACTCAAATCAAAGGCTAAACGATCCAATGTAATAATTATAATAATTGTAAGTCTTAGTTAGAAGCAATTATGAATAATGTTATTGTTGATTAAGAAAAGGGAGCAGCTTCTGTAACGAGTTTTTAAATTTTTTATCCAGCCATTGCTGGGGTAGCAGCATATAATAATTACAAGTTGAAAAACGAAGCCTCTCGAGACACCTCAAATGCTTCCGACCCTGAATCTTCCCAAAATCAGGAGTCTCAGCCTTTAACAAGTAGATAGCTGCAGTCTGAGTTACACGAGGTATGTAAATAATATATATAGCATATAGTTTTTATTCCCGCAATATAGCTTCCTCTTATAGATTATTTCTTTGTATCCCTTCCAGTTGTCCATGCCTTATTCAGAAGTTGACGAGACTATCTAGTCGTTTTCAATCATATAATGTAGTAGTAAGAGGGCATCAAATGTTCATGTAGTAGATAAAAGTATACGCAAGCATTTTTTGTTCAATCTTATAAACAATTTCAGCTAAACTTAGATCGGGGATAGCAATGTGCTGATCCAATTTAGTACATGAAGTGTAAATTACAAACTTCATCCTTTAAAAAGGGGGTGCTTGGCCATGGCATTTGATTTTTGAGGAATTTGAAGTCATTCACATTTCATAGTGATTATTTGTTTGAAGCAATTACCAATTTCAATCTCAGAGATTCGCTATTTCAAGTTGAATGATCAAAGATTAAAAGCCCCTCCACCCACTATATATTTTTATTGGACAATGACCGGTAACAGCGGTGTATAGAGCAGTTTGTTAGACAGATGAAAACTTGTAAAAATATAATTTGTTTATTTAAATTGTATTGATACTAGTAATCTATTCTGATACAGAATTTTCAGTGTTGAGAATCTTTACTCTTATGTAATTTTTTTATTTGGATGCTGTCATTGTTGTATTTTGTTTATTAATCTCATCGGTTGTCGCTAATTTGCTGAAGTTATAGAGGTAAAGAATTTTTTTGCTAAAAAAAATAAATAAGGCATATGTCGTGAGTATATATGCATGCTTTGGAGTTACTGTCTTACTTTTTCGGCACATACATATTGATTATAACTTCGTGTTTTTGGTATAGTGGATTTGTGATACGTTATGCTTGACAAAAAAGAAAAAAAATCGATACTTAAAGAAATTACTTTCTGATCTGTCATTTCATTCAAAAGAGAGGTCTTATAAAGACGATAGTAAATTATCCTTGCAATCATTGTTCTGACGCAGATAATGACAGCACAAAATATGGATTTGAAAGTCTAAGTAAAGTGTGCTTGGTAACATTTCAAGTGGGCTTTGTGTAATTGGAAAGTGTCGTAGCTATCATTTACTCCATGCCTCACTCATCCTTATCTCATTCTTTCATCTTGTACCTCATAATATTACTCTTTTTATGTATTTTTTGGAGTGTCCCCGGATAAATAAATCTGGATTGAGAGATTCAGAACAATTTTTTTTTAAGTTCCGGATTAAGCATGGAATATATAAAAAGAATGTTCATTAAGTTTCTGAAATGGTGAATTCGAAAATTTTTCGTAAAGATAGATCGGGATTGCACAATCCAGATGTGAAAGTAGTGCTTGTTTCACTTGCTGCATGGAAGCAAATTCAATCAATAAACAAAAAACATCCTCACTTCATTTTGACACGAATTCGAATTATCAATAAAGAATTACTAGCATGTATAGCAAATTCAACCAATAAACCAAAAACATCCTCCATGATTATTAAGCTGAACAATACCAAACAAAAGCTCGTTTACTTCATTGAGGCTCCAAACAATCACGCACTCTTGGTAAGGCAAGAGTTGAAGGTATCCATTCCAAGGGGAGAGTCCCCCCCCCCCACCCAAGCTTGTCTCATACATGACAGCAAATGCTAGCCCCAAATGACCATCCAAACCAGCCTCTTCCATGATCTCACGTGCCCCACTAGTCTTGGTGGTGAGGCAAGCTTCCTTTGGCATTTTGGGCATAACATCACCTTCCTTCAACTCGCACAAAGCTCTCACCGCTATTCCCTCTTTAGGGGTGTCCACAAACTCCAGTGCATCACTCCATTGGAATCCCTTGGACTTCATCCACCGCTTGAATGTCCTCAAACGCTTGTTCAGACAGATAGAAAGAGTGTGAGTAGATCACAGACAGAAACACGTTCTGTGTTTAGTGACAGATGAGTACATCTTCGTTCAGCAACGGTTACAGAAAGTGTATTGCTTTAATGGGTGAGAGTGTCAAAGGTCGGTTTTTGGCATACCTTTTTAAAGAGTTTCGTTCAATTTTCAATGAAAATGAGGGAGAAAAGGAGAGAGAGAGAGAGAGAGAGAGAGGAGAAATTAGGCGTACATGTAAGCCATAGGTATATAGAGGTTGGTTGGGAAAGACGTGGCAAGGGTTTTAGAGTTACACAAGGTTCCACCCCCACATGATTCCTATAATAAAAAAAAAAAAAACAAATTGTGTGACAACGAACTCAATTTGCTTTTTGAGACACTACAACATAAAGATAATATTGTCTTTTAGAATATGAGGTAAAGGAAAAATGAGTCTTGCTCCATCCTTCAGATTGATCTTGCTCTCAAGTTCAGCTGTTTGTGGAAATGGGCTTTAGTGCTTGATGGGACTGCTGGAGTTGTGAGGATGGTGTTAGGAATGTCATATGGGTAAAGGACTTTATTCCGAAAATGATTTTTTTAGAAATATATCATCATTATCGATCTGAAATATATTTATAGAAAATTAATTCTAAATTACATTTCTTAAAAGATATTGTGAAATTGATTTTTCATGAATAAGAGTATTTCAGAATATTTTTTTAAAATTAATTTTTTAAAATTAATTTTTTAAAAATATATATATCACCTTTTATAATCGTAACATGAAATAAGTGTGGGTGACTATTTATTATTTTTCTGAAAAAGTCAATCCATAGATATATCATGGATTGAATATTTTAAAATTCATTGAGATACTATTTTAGATTAAGAAATTTGATCTGTTTATATAATTTGAATTTGAATGTAGAACACATGTAATTTATACATAATATTAACTATTATTTATTTTTAATTATTAAAAAATGTCTAATTTGTTAGAAAATGTTTTCAATAAAAGATGATAACACACACAAAATCAAATAATGAAGAGATAGATGTATCAAGGGATGAAGATGTATAAGTTAACTTAGAAGAAAATAAAATTAGGATAAAAAATAAAGTTATAAAAATATATTTTAAATATTTGAATTGAGGTATAAAGTTACATAAAAATATTATAAAAGATGCAGGAAACAATTATATTATCATTGGTAACACGGATGTACAAATTAAAAAAGAAATTATTATGGTCATGTAACAATTGGGGGATAATTTGGAGATCATTGTTTGTTTCTTCTGGTGAAAAATATTCTTATGATCTTTTTATCTTTGAAATCTTATTTTGAAGATAATTTTCGTCTCCTGCGTCTCACCTTTATTTGCTATATTTTCATTTAAACATCATTTTTATTTTAAGATTAAAAAATTATTGATAATTTATGTTTTGAATAATATATATATATATATATATATATTTATATCCAAAAATCTCATTAAAAATATATTTAATTTGAAATTGTGACGTTTTATATTATTAAATTTGAAAGACACAAAATGAATTCCGGACTAGGCCAGCGTGACCCTTCTTTTGGGGTCTTAATAAAAAATCAGCAAAAAAAATTTTAAATTAATGAAACTGCTATTTGTGCACTACAAATAAAAAAAAATAATCAGAAGTTACATCTTTTAGGATTTTCAATACATCTCTAACAAAACAATTTATTTATTTACTGCTTTTAATAAAGACTCAAGTTTAAAATATTCAAAATTATTTTTTATACTTTTTAATATTCATTGTTGAATGAAAATGTTTAAGAGTAACGTTCATCTTAATTAGTCTGCGTTGTATATTTTATTTTTAATTATTTATTAAGTTTAAATAATATATCGTAATTTTAATGTCTAATTTATTTTTTAATTTTAAATTTTGATACGGTATATGAAATCATAAATATATTTTTAAATAACTTAAATTAAATTATTCTACTTGTAATCAATTTTATTTAAATTCAAAATTTGGACAGATCTAACTTGTCTGGAGACTTGATTTAATATTTATTTCACACTTTTTTATAGTTAATTTTATCTTTTAATTCTTTTTTATTCTAATAAACATATAATATTAATAACAAAAATATCTATTATTATTTTTTATACATTTTATTTAAATTTAGAAATAATGGGGTTATTTTAATTTTATATAAATAATTATTTAAATTCAAAATCAGTAATTATTCTCTTTCATACATTAATTATTTAATAATAATTTTTAAAAAACACTTATCATTATTACAAAAAAATTTAATACCACAAATTATATTAACCAATAGTTTTAGTAAAATTATTTTAATAATTCCAAAGCACCATGATGAATTGATTAACTTTTAAGGTAATTGTATTAAAAGTAATATTAAAGATAAACTTGATTACTTAACCATGTAATATTTTCATATAAAAGAATCCACTTGAAACAACTTAAAAAGAATCTTAAAAGTTTCCCATTCATTCGTTCATTTCTTTTTTACTACAACAATACAACCCGCGACCAAGGCTTAATTCTCACTATTCACTCACACACTCTAATTTTTTTTTTCTTTTGCGCAAAATATTATCTCATTCTCGCTCGGTACCAAAGAAGTCGCTAGAAGAAATAAAAGAAAAAAGAAAAAAGAAAAATAAAATAGAGCTAACAACCCAAGAGAGGGAAACCAAAACTCAACCGAACCCCGCGACGAGAGAGATATGCGATTGCGGTGGCGGCGGCGGTGGTCAGGGTTGTTGAGTCCCCGGTCGACGGCCAATGCAGGGGTTAGTTGCGGCGGCGGACGGCGGCGTTGATGGCCCTGCAGATGACTTGGCAGCCGAGTCTCCTGAGTCAGAAACGCAAAACCGGTCCTCCCATAGGGCTCCGTAACCTAGGCAACTCGTGCTACCTCAACAGCGTCCTCCAGTGCCTCACATACACTCCTCCTCTCGCCAATTTCTGCCTCACTCTTCAACACTCTTCTCTCTGTAACCTCCTCTTCAATTTATCGTTATTCTAACAATTTTCGTTCAGTTTATGCGCCTAGACCTAATTCTCGTGTTCCGTTTCGAATTTTTTATTCAGGTGATTTCGCTGCGTCTTCGTGTCCGTTCTGCATACTGGAGAAGCAGATTTCGCGTTCGCTGAAATTGGATCTCTCGCACGACGCGCCTTCCAAGATCCAGAGCTGTATCCGGATCTTCGCCGAGCACTTCCGCTGCGGTCGCCAGGAGGACGCGCACGAGTTCCTCCGCTACGTCATTGACGCCTGCCACAACACCTGCCTCCGCCTTAAGAAGCACCGTCGCAAAGGCGGCGACGCCAATGGCGGCGGTGGAGACGGTGGCGGGAGTACGGTGGTGAAGGAGATTTTCGGTGGCGCCTTGCAGAGCCAGGTGAAGTGTCTGTGCTGTGGATATGAGTCGAATAAGGTTGATGAGATAATGGATATTAGTCTTGATGTTTTCCATAGTAACTCGCTTAAAGACTCCATGCAAAAGTTCTTTCAGCCTGAGGTTTTAGATGGCAACAATAAGTACAAGTGTGATAGGTGAGTGGGTGCAAGTGCGTGAGTATTGTTTTTTAAATCTCACGTATATTGTTCTCCAATCAGAATTACAGTTTATCTTCAACAATCTGTATATATTCTTTCATGCAAACCTTTATTATGTGATAATGGGATAGCACTCTAGTTCTGATTGGAAAACAACTAGAGTTGTATGTGAGTTTTGGCCTATTTGTTTTTTTTGGTGTGTTTGTGGGTTTTAATTGTTGAAAAGTTGAAGCTATGGATGATTGTTTTCCAGTTGTAAGAAATTGGTGGCGGCTAAGAAGCAAATGTCCATACTTCAAGCACCTAACGTCCTTGTGATACAGTTAAAGGTTAGTTTTTTTTTTTTTTATATATATATTGTCTCTTTTTGGGTTGTAAGATTAGTGGTGGCCTGGGATTTTTTATTCATGGTGTGTTGGTGAAATTTGGATTGTAGAGATTTGAGGGCATATTGGGTGGCAAGATTGACAAGGCTGTTGCATTTGAAGAGGTTTTGGTTCTTTCTAGCTTCATGTGCAAAGCAAGCCAGGTAGGTTTAGTGTTTGTTTTAAACGAGTTATTACTACAAAGGGGTGTGTGTTTCTTCAAGTGGAGGACACAATAACATTATTTTGGAAATGTAGTCGCCTCAATAGTAGCCTTGTCTTTATCATATCTGCTTTGGACACTTAAAATAATCATAACTATTTTTTATACTTCTTCACTAATACAGAAGGAAAAATCACGAATTAGGTGAATAATAGCATTTTATAACATTTGCATGTCTCATGCTCAACTCAAAACTTTTTTTTTTTTCCTTTTTTATTTAATTTTAGGTTTTATGCTTACTGGGCATCTACTTAGGTGCTACTAATGTATACTTATAAAGCTGTCTAAGTAGTTTATTATGAATAGGGTTTCTCTTTAACATTAAAGCCTGAATTTTAATACAAAATGGTATGCTAAGGTCATTTGCAATTAGGGATGGCAAAACGGGCCAGCCCGCCTCGCCTTTGGCCCGTCAAAAGCGGGGTGGGGTGGGCTAGCCCGCTATAGTCATGGCGGGTTACAGGTCTCGGCTCGCCCGCCAAAGGGCGGGTTGGCGGGCTCACCCGTTATATTTCTTATTTTATTATTTTTAAATTAAATCTTTCAATAAATTTAATAATAAAATTATCATTGTCAACAATTTAATATATATATATATATATATATATATATATATTTCAAGTTAATAATATAAATTGATATATTATTTTAATAAATTATATTTTAGAACAATTAAATTAAAATAAAGTTTATATAATAATAAATACATGTATGTAATAGTAAAAATTTATTAAATCTTTATTTTTTATATTGAAAAGTATGAGATATATATGATTTTTACCTTATGAAGAAGGATGAGCAAGAAGGAGATGACGAGTAAGAGGAGAGGAGAGAGAGAGGGGTTTGTGCTTGAGAAAGGAAAGTGTTTCCCGTGATGTGAGTTTAAGTAATTATAAAACTTTTTGAATTCTTTACTTTTTGAATTCTCTTAGTAGTGAGATACTAAAATTTTATGAATTCTCTTTATGAAACACTGAGACTTTTAGAATTCTCTTTTCATAAATCTTCGTATTATATATTGTCTTTCTGATTCTTTGTATTGTATCACAATAAAAAAAAATATTAGTAAAGCGGGCTGGCTCGCCCCGCTTCCACTGTTGGACCGGCGAGCCAAAACGGGCTGACAGGCTAAAAGTACTAACTCGTCTATTATGGCGGGCTGGCCGGTTGGCCTGCCGGGCTTGACCCGTTTTGCCATCCCTATTTGCAATGGAATCTCTTATAAAGGTTGATTAAATAAACAATGTTGCTTAACAAATTTTACCATTGGAGCAAATGACTTGACATTGCTTATATATAAACACTGTTGTTGCTTAAGGAAAAATTAAGTTTTGAATGAGAGAAATGATTGGAGAGAATATTTAAGTATTGATGATATTAAGTCAATCATAAGACTTACAAAATTAGGTTAAACACTCATTTTAACAACCTTAGCATTGGAGTGCATTTTTGTGTAGAATGCTTAAATTATGTGGCATTGTAAAACCTACAAAATTAATATAAACAAATTCATTTAAGCAACCATGCATTGGGGATGCTCTAAGATTGACACAAAAATATGAAAAAAAATCTTAAAAATGTAAGATACAATATGTTATCATGATTTTTAACAATAAATTATTTTACATAAATGCACAATATTTATGTAGTGAGATTGATTATTTCTTTTTAATACATAATTGTATTAGGGGATGATGATTGCAAATTTCAAAAACATTAATTCTTATTATAGCAAACAATTAGATACATATCACTTGAGATAAATAAAAGAGAGAAAATATATTTTAGAAAACGTGAATTTTTCTTAAGTTTTGTTATTTATATATGAAAAAAGGAGTCTAAGTTGAGATATAACTAATGAGAGAAAAGAATGCAAAACAAGTAAAGGCATCTCTAGGTGCAAATAGGTATAACTCAAATAAGCTTTTTTCTAAAGCAATACAAATTGTGTGTACAAAGTTTAAAATATACAACAAATTCAATTCAAGACCCTCCCAAGGATTTAGTTAACATATTCAGAAGTTGATTATTGGATCCATTAAACTCTATAAATTTCCTTGGGCAACAACTTTTCTCAAATTAAATGGCAGTCAATATCTATATGTTTTGTGCTTTCGGGGAACCCAAAATTGGAGACAATGTGGAGAGTTGTTTGATTATTGCAATACATCTTTATTTGCTGAATCTCACAAAAGTTGAGTTCTTAGAGGAGTTGTGTACCCACAAAAATTTACAAGTAAGAGACGTCATTTACTGAATCTTCATTAGTTAGTATTGAAGTAGACAGACACTTCATCAAAGAAAAGCTTGATAGTGGCTTGATATGCACTCCATATGTGTCCTCTCAAGACCAAATTGCAGACATTCTTACCAAGGGACTGGGCTGCCATAATTTTGAGAAGATTATATCCAAGCTGGGAATGGAAAACATTTATTCACCAGCTTGAGGGGGAGTGTGAGAAATCAAATAGTATTTTAGGAAAGAATAAATAAGAAAATTTGTATATTTCCTTGTAATCTGTACAGATTTGAATAATTAGGAACAATCCCATAAATCAAGGGATCCTAGCATAAAATAGAGTTATTATATTTCCTAAAATAGTTTAGGTCTCTTGTATATATCTTATATCATCTCTTTGTATTGATATAATAAAAATCATATTTCAGTTAATCTATTTTTCTCAGATGGTATCAGAGCTTCCGATCTAGGAAGCTCTGTCTGCGCTCGATAAACCCTAAGACGGCAGCCTGCATTGCTGCTGCATATTTTGTAACCCTAAGACGGCAGCCTGCATTGCTGCTGCATTTTTCTTAACCCTAAGACGGCAGCATTGCTGCTGCATTTTTCTTAACCCTAAGACGGCAACCTGCATTGCTGCATTTTTCATAATCCTAAGACGACAGCCTGCATTGTTGTTGCATCGCACCTTTTTGCTATAATGTCAAGGGAAGAGGAGATAGAAAGGGTGAAAACCATTCTTAGTAAGCTGGAAAAACCTACAGGTATGTGTTCTTTGGCATACTCAGGTAAGTTTCCACCTTCTTTTGGATTAAATGTCTCAGATACGCCTTTTAACCATTATTGGATATTGGACTCTGGAGCCACAGATCACATGACACCATTAGCCAAACACTTCTCCACATATTCCCCATGTCCCAAGAACAAGAAAATTGCCACAGGAGATGGAACCCTTATAACTGCAATTGGTCAAGGAAATATCCAAATCAATCCTTTAATAACCTTAAAAGACGTTCTCCATGTCCCAAAGTTGTCCACGAACCTAGTGTCTATACAAAAACTTATAAAGGATTTGTCATGTAAAGTTGTTTTTTCCAACGATCATTGTGTATTTCAGGATAAGGATTCGGGGAGGATGATTGGACATGCTAGAGAATGGAATGGCCTTTATTATCTCGAAGATCCAAGTCTGCCCAGCAAGAATAGAATCTCTCACTCCTTCATATTTGAATCCTTGATGACCAACAGAGAAAAAATCATGCTTTATCATTGTCGGTTGGGACATCCCTCTTTTGGAGTGATCAAAATTATATTTCCCTCTCTGTTTACCAAGTTAGATGTTGAAAGTCTTCATTGTGAGGTGTGTGAACTTGCTAAGCACAAACGTATATCTTTTCCAATAAGTAATAGAATTAGCAATTTCCCTTTTTATCTTGTTCATACTAATGTATGGGGACCTTCTAATATTCCAAATGTGTCTGGTGCTCGGTGGTTTGTCACCTTTATAGATGACTCTACAAGGGTCACTTGGGTTTTCCTACTTAAACAAAAATCAGAAGTCAATTCTGTCTTCCTAAACTTTCACTCCATGATAAAAAATCAATTTGGTGTTAATATTAAGAGGCTTAGGTCAGATAATGCCAAAGATTACTTCAATCATGTCCTTAATTCTTTTTGTCAAAAAGAAGGTATAATTCATGAGTCCTCTTGTGTCAAAACACCACAACAGAATGGGGTCGCAGAGAGGAAAAATGGACATCTATTAAATCAGACTCGGGCATTGTTGTTCCAAAAAAGTGTCCCAAAAAATTTCTGGGGGGAAGCTGTCCTTACAGCAACATACCTTATCAATAGACTACCCTCTAGAGTCTTAGGATCAAAAAGCCCTATGGAAGTTTTGTCGTCTTTCTATCCAAACTTGTCTACTACAAATAATCTTAAACCAAGAGTTTTTGGGTGCATCTCATATGTCCATATTCATAGTACAGACAGGGGAAAACTTGATCCTAGAGCCTTAAAGTGTGTCTTTGTTGGTTACTCACCCACTCAAAAAGGGTATAAATGCTACCACCCCCCATCCAAAAAATTCTTTGTGTCTAGGGATGTTACCTTCAATGAACAAGAGGGCTATTTCCATCAACCTTATCTTCAAGGGGAGAGTTTCAGGGAAGATAAGGAAAGTAGTGATTCTGGTTTTCCCATTCTTCCAGACATGACATTTGAACCTAAACGAAATCATATTGAAAGTAGTAATTATGGTTTTCCCATTCTTCCAGACTTGATATTTGAACCTAAACAAGATCAAATTGAAGATCAAATTGAAGTTGTAACAAATGAAACAAGTCAAGGAATTGGTCAAGCAAAGGAAGTTGGTCAAGAAAGTGAAATTAATTGTGAAGCTGATCAAGAAGATGTTGAAACTGGAAAATTTGGCAAGAAGCTGGTGTACTCAAGGAAGACTAAGGCCAATCCAGGATCAAGCCATGTTCAAGAATCCAACTCGACTCCACAAAAAGAGGTAACAATTTTTTCTCCAGCTGTGCAGGTTGAAATTGAAACCCAAAATGATCTTGACCTCCCAATTGCCATTAGAAAAGGAACAAGAAAATGCACCAAACAGCCACTCTACCCTCTCTCAAATTACCTGTCCTTTAAAAATTTCTCTCCTACCCATAAAACATTTCTAGTAAACCTAAACACTGTACTTCTACCTAATACCCTATCTGAGGCATTGTCTGACAGAAAATGGAGGCAAGCCATGGATGAAGAGATGGAGGCATTGGAGAAGAACAACACTTGGGAGTTAGTCACCTTACCAATAGGAAAGAGGCCAGTTGGATGTAAATGGGTCTATATAGTGAAATACAAGGCTGATGGATCAATTGAGAGATATAAGGCAAGACTAGTTGCCAAAGGGTTCACCCAAACCTATGGAGTTGATTATTTGGAGACCTTTGCTCCGGTTGCCAAAATGAACACAGTTAGGGTGATATTGTCCCTTGCTGCCAATTATGGTTGGAACTTGGAACAATTTGATGTTAAGAATGCTTTCCTACATGGAGACCTTGAAGAAGAAATCTATATGGAGATACCTCCAGGATATGGTAAAGATGTTGCTGCCAACACTGTTTGCAAGTTGAAAAAGGCATTATATGGGTTAAAACAGTCCCCCCGTGCATGGTTTGGCAGGTTTACTAAAGTTATGACAGGTCTGGGTTACAAACAAAGCCAAGGGGACCATACTTTGTTTTTTAAACATTCCAAGTCAGGGGGAGTAACAATATTATTGGTGTATGTGGATGACATAATATTAACTGGAGATAATAAAGAAGAGCAACAATTATTGAGTCAATGCTTAGGCAAGGAATTTGAGATCAAGACTTTGGGAAAACTAAAATATTTTTTGGGAATTGAAGTTGCCCACTCCGAGAAAGGGATATTTATATCTCAGCAGAAATACATCACTGATTTGCTCAAGGAAACTGGCAAGGCAGCTTGCAAACCTGCTAGTACCCCATTAGAACCAAACCTAAAGCTTGGAAATGCAGAATAAGATGTTGCTGTTGAAAAAGATATGTACCAAAGATTAGTGGGCAGACTTATATATTTGTCACATACCAGGCCGGATATTGCCTATGCGGTGAGTTTAATTAGCCAATTTATGCATAGCCCAAAGGAGACCCATTTACAAGCTGCCCACGAATTTTACAGTACCTTAAAGGAACTCCAGGAAGAGGGATTCTATTCAAAAGGAATGGTAATGTGAAGCTTGAAGCCTATACTCGATGTCGATTATGCAGGGTCAATTGTGGATAGGAGGTCAACTACAGGATATTGCACCTTTCTTGGAGGAAATCTTGTGACTTGGAGAAGCAAAAGCAGGGTGTAGTGGCTCGGTCCGAGTCTTGAAGCAGAATTCCAAGCCATGGCACAAGGTATATGTGAGTTGCTATGGCTTAAAATCATCTTAGAAGACTTGAGGATAAAGTGGGAAGAACCTATGAAGCTCTATTGTGATAATAAGTCAGCAATCAGTATAGCCCACAACCCAGTGCAGCATGATAGAACAAAGCATATTGAAGTAGACAGACACTTCATCAAAGAAAAGCTTGATAGTGGCTTGATATGCACTCCATATGTGTCCTCTCAAGACCAAATTGCAGACATTCTTACCAAGGGACTGAGCTGCCATAATTTTGAGAAGATTATATCCAAGCTGGGAATGGAAAACATTTATTCACCAGCTTGAGGGGGAGTGTGAGAAATCAAATAGTATTTTAGGAAAGAATAAATAAGAAAATTTGTATATTTCCTTGTAATCTGTACAGATTTGAATAATTAGGAACAATCCCATAAATCAAGGGATCCTAGCATAAAATAGAGTTATTATATTTCCTAAAATAGTTTAGGTCTCTTGTATATATCTTATATCATCTCTTTGTATTGATATAATAAAAATCATATTTCAGTTAATCTATTTTTCTCAGAGTTAGCTTTAGCATTTTATCAGGCCACCAAATTATATTTCTTACTTATTTTAGGAAATAATATTCCTTCCAATGAAACACAATATCTTGTAGTAGAACATTTAGTCGTAGGAGATCTTACCAATCGGTATCACAATACCCAGTAATCTAGGTATTCCCTTTATCTTCATACATCAAACCTTTCTCGAAGTATTTTGGAGGTATTTGAGGATATAAATGACAACATTCTAATGATCAAGACAAGGAATCTACATCAATTGACTAACAACACAAATTGTAAAAGAAAGATCTAGTCTAGTAATAATAAGATAAAGAAGTTTTCCAACAAGCCTTATATATCTTTTTGGATTAGAGAATGATTGACTCTATTTTGATATAGTGTTATTGACAAATAGTGATGATGGTGCTATGGTGGAAATTAGAAGCATAAATTTGCCTGTTGCCATGACAAGGCATTGGCAAAGTGCGTTCTGCATGGTGGCCCATAGCAGATGCTTTGGGTGTTGCTGAATGGTGCCGTAGAGTGGTCATGGCGAAAATCTTGCTCCCGTAGCCGCGTAGCTTGTGTCGAGAGGTGGTGTAAGATAAGATGTGTCGGGTTTGTGTGACCTGACCTGAGAGTAACCTTGGTTATCTACTGTTAATATGATGTTTTGTTGTCTTTTGGGTTTATAAGAGACCCAAACCACTAGAAGAAAGAAAAGGTTAGGTTAGTTGTCCAACCTAAACCTGATAGGTAGGAAAAAAAGAATAAGATCCACCCAGCACACATCTGTTGCACTTCTCCCTCACTGCAGACTTAAGTCATCGTTGCTGCTGCTTTTGCTGCAATTGCTATTGTTGCCGTTGCCTCCGCCACTGCTCTATGTTTAATTTGTGGCTTTTCTTCTTTCTATTCTTATGTGTTTAACTCCATTTTCTTTTTCATTCTTTCATCCATCTGTACATGTACTTCTTCGTGCATATGGTTACAGCTCTTTAATAAAGCCTATTTTATGCATATTCTAACAATATCTTTTCCTTATCCTTATCAAAATATATTTGTCCCCATGTGAACATGGGAAAAAATTGTATATTTTTCTCAATCTAAACAGCATCTTAGTCATATTCAAAAGAAGTCTGAATATTAATGTCTACTATTTAGTATAACTTTTAAAGATAAATGGAAAAAGATGGGGTCATATCAATTTTAGTCTCAAAATAAGTATTGGAGTCATATCCTCAAGCGTAAAAAGAAATAAGATAAAATTTGTGAGATACTCCCTTGATTTGTGTCTAGGTGTACATCATACAAGTATCAATATTGAATATGGGTAGACACACCTATACCATACCATTTTTGAAGTATTTGAGCCTCATAGGCTTTGAATGGAAATCCTATAATGATTACTTGGATTGTTGTCAAAGTATGTTGATTTGAAGAATAGTTAATAGATGGAAGATGAATCAGGTTTTATCATACCTGTATATATCTTAGTTTGGAGATCTAGGGGGTATTGTTGAAAATTGTTGCTATTATGCTTTGTGGCAGCTTCCAATATTCGTTACTTGTGGTTGGAGCAGACTCTCTAGTTTGAGGAAGAAATCCCTGCCATTAGACCTCGTGAAATAACATTGACATTATTACTTGTTGTAATGCTTGGACAATTATTTGCATGTTTATAAATGTGTTGTTCTGTGGATGAACCTCACAAAGTCTTAGTAATATGTTAGCTATGGAACTTGTAATATTCAGAAAATCCATGAGAAATATGGACATTTGGAACCTATGAATACTCTGGATATTTTATGAAGTTAACCAAATTATTACCTTTATTCAGTTATAGTTCATACGGAAATTATGGTACAGAAGTGTTAAATTGCTTGAGTTAAAAAAACTTTGATCTCTTTTCGGACAGTATGGGACATGAACCATCCAATATCCACTGAATATAAACTTCATACATACATACATACATTGTGGTAGTATTTAATTGCAAAAGGTATGACTAAATTAGGACTCTGAACTAAGTGGTGAAACTTAAAAGAAGCTAAAATACTATTTATTACTGTGCCACACTATAAAGGATCAATATTTTTTCAACCTAGGTTGACATCTCATAAAGAATGAATCCTCTAACATTGCTAATATTGCCCAAGTTCTCCCCTCACCCCCACCCACCATTTTAATCTTTTTTTTTTTTTGGCTTCTTTTCTAACGGGAATCTTTATGTAGGATCCTCAACCGGAATATAAGCTCTTTGGAACTATTGTGCATTCAGGCTATTCCCCGGAATCTGGTCACTACTATGCGTATATAAAGGTTTGTTAATTTATAGTTCATCTGTAAACAAATCATGTAGCTGATACATTGATTCCTAAATATGTTCCAATCTGTTGTCCTTTTCTGTTCCCAGGATGCAATGGGTAGGTGGTATTGCTGTGATGATTCTAGTGTAACAGTTGCAACCCTGCAAGAAGTTTTGTCTGAAAAGGTTTACATTCTTTTTTTCTCTCGGACTAATCAAAGGCCAGTGTCAAGTAATAATTCTCTTGCTTCAAACGGTGTAAAGCCTCATTCCAATGGGAGCCAAGCATCTGAATGCCAAAAGGTTGGTGTACCACCGAAAGCTGTGCAGGCAAAATCAAGTTCTGAGCTATCTCCTTGGAAGGATATGCCAAATGTAACGAAGACTGCTAAAGTGCCTTCCAGCTCACGAGTGAAGTTTGACATTAATGGAAGTCCTACTTCCAAAAGAAATCTTGCTCCTGTAAGTGTGAATGGAAAAGTTGATGTTTCTAGGAATCAGCCTTTAGTAATAAATGAACATGTGAAAGATTCAGTTTCGTTGGAGAATGGTAAGAAAAATCCTTCATCATTACCCACCAGGAATGGTATTGACAAAAATAAAGTTGATGTTGACAAATTGAAAAGAAAGGAGTCAACATTTACAAATGGCCACAATGATAATCAGATGGTTGATATCCATTCTGTAAAGTCAGATCCCAGGGAAGATACTGAGAAAAGCAGAGCAATAGCAGGTAAAGGTTCTGACAACTTTAAGCATGAAAGCAATGGCCTCAACAATAAACCCAAAATATTGGGGAATAAGAGAAAGGTACCTAAGGATCCATGCATTTTACTGGCAGATGATGGTCAATCTCAAGCACGAGTTCAAGAAATGAAGGCCATGTATGACATAGTTATTTTCAATTTTCTTTTACAAATTACAGTTTAATGATTTTTTAAATGATGCCTTGACATGCTTTATGTTGCTGATATACATTGAAATATTGCATCTTATACATTTTACTCTCTTTCATAGCCTGGATAGAGACTTTGGTAGTTGGGTACTTTGGTAGTTGGGTTTAGACTTTTAAAAGTAGTTAATGCTTGGCATTTTTTGTTTATGATATCTTAGTTTTACTGAGGCTTTGATATTTGTAGTTATTGTTTCAATAACGTAGTTAATGGGAAAGAGAATACAAAAGTTTGAATCATATCTTTTGGCATCCAACTCTCATAGCATTCCAATTTGTAGAAAACATTTTGCAATTTATAATGTTAATGGATGTTATACAATTTTTTTTCTTTAATTGCATAGTTAATCTCCATTAACCTCTGTCTACAATATCTGACATGCTCTAAATATATGTTGACCAAATTTTTTTCAGGATATAGTCTTATTGATTTATACTGTACGAAAATCCATGCTTGTGATTGGTGATACCCAAACTTAGTTACTCACTAGCTAATATTTATATACCTATTTCATGTGACAACCAGTTAACATTTATATACCTATTTCATGTGACAATTAGTTATACAACTTTACATTCTGAAATATTCTTTTATGTCCGAGTCATACTGTTTTCTTTCTAATATATTCATTTCTTGCCTGTTTCTGATACCATGTTTTCAAAACATTACAGTCTTGAGAAAGAGGCGAAGTCATTTTTGATATCATGTGGCTGGGACGATATGGTCTATGAATTCATGCGTTCTAAAAAGAAGTTACGGGCACAAGAAGATGGAAATTTAGCTAATGGAGATGAAACAAGGTACATATATATTCTATATTGCTTTATGCAATGAACCATTGATATTACATATAAAAATGGCTGTTGCAGAATTTTGTGAATTTTAATTACATTACCTTTTAATCACGTAAGAGATTGATTCAACTGTGACTATAGAGGCCAGGTTAAGGGATGTAGGGTTCTATAATGATGCTTATACTTATTACGATGCAGCTTTGGAAAAGTATGATTGACCACGAGATTGTATAGTAAACAATTGACCATTAAAGAGGACTTTATGTATAGTACTCAACCTTGGATTCTACATTTTGTTGAGTTTTGAATCATTTTGTTGTAACCTTCATATAAGATTTCTACATAATTAATATTAAGTGGATTAATTTGAGAATCATATGGATATATATTATACTTGAGGAATTTTAGTTATGAATTAGTTGGTAATGTTCAAAAAGTTGAAACTACAAATTTTTTAGTTGGGGTTGGGGTTACATATTAGTTAAGTGATGGTAAACATTTCTTTTTGTTGCTAAGTATAGTAAGTCATTCTTTCTTTCTGAATTTTCCCTTCTTTTGGTTCTTGTATGGATCTTTGACAAAATTAATTCTTTGGTTTGAAGAAGGAACCTAGGATGTTGAATGTGATGTTATATTCTTTTATGTAGTTGATTTGTGATCCATTAGTGAATATCTCCCTAATGTTTCTCCTCCTCGGGTTTTCCAACATTGGTATTAGTGTTGTTAGTTTGTCTTAGTGATAGACTCAAATGATTATGGTGGAGTTGGTTGTGGATCCCATTGTGTAGATGAGCCCTTGTATCATGTAGTGAATCCAGGTGGTGTGTCGTTGAGGTGAATGATAGGGCAAGTAAGAGTCTCCATTCAATACTCGTGGACATGTAAGAGTGTTAGAATCATTATTTCCGAGTATTATCATTAGACCTAAGTATAGGGTGTTGAGTGTGGGAAACCTCCTAGAGCTGTATCTAGATCTGCACCTAGGGTGTTGAATGTGGGAAACCTCTTACAGTTGTATCTAGATCTGCACCTAGGGTCCTAGTTGCAGTCTCTTACTTAGTCTTTTATGTCTCGTTGTATTAGATTTCCATTATAAATAGAAGAAAGGGAGAAGGATCCCATAAGCCCTGAAGATATATTTTTTTTCTATTAATCTTAAGTTGGTATCAGAGCGGGTCGATCCCGCTCTAGTTTCTGTCTGGTCTTGTGCACCATCATCAGTCACCGTTGTCTGCAGCTGTCCACCATTAGTCACCGTTGTCCGCTGTCGTCCAAGCTCAGTTTTATCACTATCTGAAGCTATCCTCTCCTCAGTTGGACTGTCCAACACTGTCAAGCAACTATCCGTTGTTTTCCGCCGCCGTCAGCCGCCGCAGTTTTGTTCGGAAACCACCGGATCTGGACCGCCTCTCCGAGCGACAGCCAACCCTATCAGTGCCGAAGGGAGACTCCTCGCAACGCACTGTCACGCGCTCCATCTCGTTAGGGCTTTCAAAAATCTTCGCTGTTTTCACGTATCTGCTCTGTTTTTTTTTTGTCCTCTTGATTAGAAATGGCAACTGGAAGTGCTGGAAGTGCTATTTCATTCTTTGGAAGTCCTTCCATTACTTCTGAGAAGCTAAACGGACAAAATTAGCTCTCTTGGTCCGCTGTCGTCGAGATGTGATTCCTTGGTCAAGAACATCATGACCATCTTGAGAAAGACGGAAGCCATGTGCCTAAAGAAAAAGTCGAACAGTGGAAGCAAGCAGATTTTTAGTTGTGTGCCCTGTTGTGGCAATATGTGGAGCCAAGATTTTTAATGTCTCTTAGGGCCTTCAAGACATGTTACTCTTTTTGGAAGAGAACTCAAAACATATATGCCAACGATATCCAATGCCTTTATAATTCGGCAAACAAGCTGGCATCTCTGAAAATGACCAACCATGATATGATCTCTTTCATGAATGAAGCATAATCAGCCATGGAAGACCGGTGAATGTTCTTGGAGGTCGACGCTTCAGATGAAATGAAGAAGTTTGACAAATACTATATGGTGATGATTCTTCACGCTATACATCCAGACTTCAACCATATCAGAGATTAGTTTCTGACCTCTCATGAAGTCCCTTCAATGGACACCTTAATCCAACGCATGGTTCGTGTTCCAACACATGGAACTCTGGAAACTCCTGTTCTAGTAGAACCATTTGTTATGGTCGTCACTCGAGGAAGAGGAGGACGTGGAACTAGAGGAGGCGGACGTGGTGGTCGTGGGTGTCCTCAATGCACATATTGCAAAAGGATGGGTCACACCCAAGAAAACTATTACTCCTTACATGGTTTTCCTTCCAAAACCGTCATTTTCTCTCAGGCTGAAACGATTGAACCCAAGTTCACTGAGAACGAGTATCAAGAGTACCTACGACTCAAGTCCAACAACTTGGCACAACCATCTCAAGCTCCAAGTACATTAACAGCTTGCATCTCTCAATCTATGGAAAGTCACAATTCATGGGTAATTGATTCTGGTGCTTCTGACCATATCTCTAGTAATACCTCCTTGTTCTCAACCATTTCATTTCAAGACAAATCTCATTTTATAACCCTTGCAAATGGCTCTAAAACTTCCTCAAAGGGAGTTGGTCAAGTCATCCTGTCTCCCTCCTTAAATCTAAAATCTATCCTTTTTGTCCCTAGCTATCCCTTCAATTTAATTTCCTTAAGCCAGTTAACCAAAATGTTAAACTGTTCAGTAACCTTCGATAACAAATCTTTTGTTATACAGGAGCATGGTTCGGGGAGACAAATTGGAGAAGGATATGAAGCAAGAGGATTATATCATTTTGGATCTCGTCCATGAGTGTCATGTGTTGCAGTCCCTAGTCTTAAAATGTTACATGATCGGCTTGGTCACCCTCATTTGTCCAAGTTAAAAAAATGTGTCCTGAACTTAGTGGTCTCCAGACCTTAGAATGTGAGACATGTCAACATGGCAAACATGTTAGATCTGCCTTTCCTAAAAAGTCTCAATCAAAAGGTAATTCTAGTTTTTTTATCATTCATTCTGATATCTGGGGACCTAGTCGTGTCTCATCTTTTGATTTTAAGTATTTTGTTACTTTCATTGATGAATTTTCGAGATGTACTTAGGTTTATCTTATGAAAAATCGCTCTGAATTATTATCCATTTTCACATCCTTTTTAAATGAAATTAAGAATCAATTCGGGCAAATGATCAAAATCTTGAGAAGTGACAATGTCAAGGAGTACTTCTCATATGCTTTTTCTGTCGTTTTGAGTTCACATGGTATCTTGCATCAGTCCACTTGTCCTCATATGTCACAACAAAATGGTATAGCAGAAAGGAAAAATAGACACTTGGTTGAAACTGCTCGTACCTTTTTGCTTAATGCCCATATTCCAGTCCATCATTGGGGAGATGCCATCTTAATTGCATGTTTTCTAATTAATTGGATGCCATCTTAATTGCATGTTTTCTAATTAATTGGATGCCATCATCCTCTCTCAATCATAAGGTCTCTTTTTCCATTCTGTTTCCATATAATCCTCTTTTCCACATTTCTCCTCGTGTTTTTGGTTGTGTATGCTTTGTTCATGACATGTCTCCAGGGTTAGACAAGCTTTCTGCTCTCAAATGTGTCTTCTTGGGCTATTCCCGTCTTTAGAAAGGGTATCGTTGTTACTTTCCTGAAACGAAGAAATACTACATGTTTGCCCATGTCATGTTGTTTGAACGGATCCCTTTCTTCTCTCCATCTGTTCAAGATGTTCATGTCATAAAGCAGGGCCTCCCTATTCCAGTGGTTTAGTACAATCTTTCCAATGTCTCTGTCAATCCTAGTCCAAGTCTTGATCAAAGTCCTCTTGCGCCATCATCTCCACCTATTCATACCCCCCAAACGGATAGTCCCATTTTCCAAGAACATGGTGAATCCCCTACTTCAGATGCTTCTCCCTCGTCCCTTGATACCACGACTTTTGGTGAAGGTAATTCAGGCTGACCCATTGCTCTCAGAAAAGGTACTCGTTCCACTCGAAACCCATATCCCATTTATAATTTTCTTAGCTATCACAGATTATCGCCTTCCTATTGTTCCCTTTTATCTTTAGTATCTTTTGTTTTTATTTCCAAAAATGTGAATGAAGCATTTGATCATCCTGGATGTCGACAAGCCATGATTGCAGGGATGCAGACTCTTGAACACAGTCATACTTGGAAGCTCGTGTCCCTCCCACCGGGTAAGAAGGTTGTTGGTTGCCGATGGGGATATGCAGTTAAAGTCGGCCCTGATGGTCAAGTTGATCGACACAAAGCTCGATTGGTTGCAAAAGGATACATTTAGGTTTATGGTCTTGATTATTTTGACACTTTCTCTTCCGTGGCCAAGATGATTACTATTTGTCTCTTCTTTGCAATGATAGCCATTCGTCACTGGCCACTTCATCAATTGGATATCAAAAATGCTTTCCTCCATGGTGATCTTGAGGAAGAGGTTTACATGGAGCAACGAACCTAGGTTCGTTGCTCAGGGGGAGTCTGGTATGGTATGCAAATTGTATCGTTCTCTATATGGTCTCAAGCAATTACCACGTGCTTGGTTTGGAAAATTCAGCTTCATTGTTCAAAAACTTAGGCTAAGACGTAGTGAAGGAGACCATTCTGTCTTTTACTGTCATACATATCTCGGGAAATGTGTTTACCTAATAATATATGTTGATGACATTGTCATTACAGGAAATGACACTGCTAGAATATCTCAACTAAAGGAGTACTTGTTTAGACATTTTCAAACCAAGGATCTTGGAAGCCTCAAATACTTCTTAGGCATTGAAGTAGCTCAGTCAAAAGATGGAGTTGTAATCTCTCAAAGGAAGTATGCTCTTGATATATTACAAGAAACAAACATGATTGATTGTAGACCAGTAGACAGTCTTATGGACCCAAATCAAAAACTAACGACAGAAGAAGGTGAATTATTCTCTGATCCAGAGAGATGTAGGAGGCTTGTTGGAAAACTAATTTATCTTACTTTTACAAGGCCTGATCTATCTTTTGCAGTTGGAGTGATTAGTCAGTTTATGCAGACTCCATATCTTGGACATTGGAATGCCATCATCTGTATGGACAGAGTTTACTATATGAAGATAAAGGAAATGTTCAAGTCTTCAGGTATTGTGATGCTGATTGGGCAGACTCCCCTATTGACAAATGCTCTACTACAGGCTATTGTGTCTTCCTTGGAGGAAATGTTATCTCATGGAAAAGTAAGAAGCAAAATATAGTGTCATCCGTTGAAGCTGAATATCGGGCAATGACGTCTCTCACTTGTGAATTCATATGGGTAAAGCAATTTCTTCGGGAGCTTAATTTCTGTGAAATCCAGACCATGAAGATGTACTGTGACAACTAAGCTGCTCTCCACATTGCATCAAATCTGGTGTTTCATGAGAGGACTAAACACATAGAAATCGACTGTCATTTTGTTCGGGAAAAATTAATGTCCAAGGAAATTTGTACTGAGTTCGTTGGGTCAAATGACCAACTTGCATATGTGATAACCAAGTTATTAAGGGGATCTCAGATTGAGTTCATTTGTTCCAAGTTTGGTTCATACAATTTGTATGCTCCAGCTTGAGGGGAGTGTTAGAATCATTATTTTCTAGTATTATCATTAGACCTAAGAATAGGGTGTTAAGTGTGGGAAACCTCCTACAGCTGAATCTAGATCTGCACCTAGGATGTTGAGTGTGGGAAACCTCCTACAGCTGTATCTAGATCTACACCTAGGGTCCTAGTTGCAGTCTTACTTAGTCTTCTATGTCTTATTGTATCAGATTTCCATTATAAATAGAAGAAAGGGAGAAGGGTCCCATAAGCCCTGAAGATATATTTTTTTCTCTATTAATCTTAAGTAAGAGCTTTGCACGTAAGGGGAGTTTACAAGGGGGGATTCAAGTTGGAGTCCCAATTGTGAAAAAAAGGACAAATTGAGCAATGTATAAGTGAGAAATTAAAGTTTTGAGTTGAGTGTGTGTTATGTTTTCTTATGTATCTCCCAATGATTCTTTTCTTGGATTTTCCCACAACAATCCCTTTCAATGACTTCCTCCAATATCTTTTTTATGTGATTGGAAATCATGCTATCTATTCTCCTCACTAGTGCCTCTAATAGCCTTCTTTGCACATGCTCAAATCATCGTAGCCAATTTGTTTGCCTTTCTCAACAATTTTCACACAAATATATAGATAAAATTACTCCCGTAGTTTATTATGTTTCCTAACCATTTATTTTCTTTAAATCTAATGGTTCTAATGAATAAATAGAATAGTTATTAGATTTCCAAAAAATAAATGGTGATGATGAGGAGTGTGATTCTCTTAGAGTTAGTATGGGAATAACTTGATCCTTCCTTCTATTATATATATATATATATAAATTTTATTTTATTTTATTTTATTTTTTTTATTTTAAATCGGACTACTGAACCAGTAAAGACATGAGTTCAAGATTGAATGGGTCAAACAAGGTCCAATTGGTTTTAATGAAATAATATTTTTATAATATAACAAGAGATAATAAGTTCATTAGTAACAATATTTTTTTACAAAAGAAAGAAAAGTAATAAAAGTTACTGTCATGGTGATTGTAAATTACAATGAAGGTTACAACTATAAAATATATTAGAGATTGTAAGATGAATAATTGTTATAATAATATAAAAATATAATAAAATAATTATTATTTAAAATTGACGTAACTAGTATTAGATAATAAAAAGGAAAAAATTTAAATATATTATATCTTTTATAAAAAAATTATATTAAAAAAAATTGATCCTAAATTTTAGGAAAACTGGTTAGACCCAAAAATCCAAATGGTTTTTTCGGTTTACCGATTTGTCCCGGTTTAATTAAAATCCGTTATTTGAAAGCAATGGACTGGTTCTTGGTTAGACCGGTTGAACCATTTGTTCTTGCTTTTCAAAATAGTGATATATATAATCACCAACCAAATTAGGACTTGGCTTTGAAGTGGGATCTTAAAATTGTTATTTCCCCGTCCTTTTGTATTATTGATTTCAATTACTTTGAAACTTGTGCTACTCATTCTTACCTTCAAAGCATTTTCTTCCTATTTCATGATAAAGTTATGTGTATACTCTTACCTTGCTCTAAAGCTAGTGAAAGAAGGCCATTTGATTGTAAACTTCAATTTTAAATCCCAACTTCAGAGTTAGTCTTCTGTTGATTCCTCAATCAGAACTATATCATCTGCATATAGCGTTCATTTAGGGAGAGTCTTTGTGTGTTGTGTTTAGCGCATCAGATAATAAATTAAATAAGTAATTTCTCACTGCTGAGCTTGATGCAAACTTATCCTTATAGGGAAGTCTTCTAGCCTTTGTTTGCATCTGTGGTTGAATTGTTCCCACAGATGGATTAGAAGTGTTTTGGAGGAGGCTAAGTAGTTTGGATCAAAGAAAAGAAGATGATTTGAGGTGGAAAGTATATATGAAAGTGTAAAAATACGTTGCCCATCCGTGAAGAGACAGTGTGCATACACGTGATTGTGTAGCGATGAGGAGTAACATAAAAAATCACTGTTTTTAGGTGTGGATACATAGTTGGTATGTTTCAGCATATAGTCGATTATGCCTATATGCATAATCAATTATCCATGTTTTTACTCCAAGCCTGCGAAAACCTCCTTCACATCCACTTTCGCAACTGCATCTGGCCTATCACCCACCGTGTTTTGCATGTAGCTTCGCCAACTCCACCATCCTTCGATTCCTAAAGTACTTTCTTGAGCATTTTAGGCTGTTAGCGTGCTCATTCAATGTGCATGTTGCATGTCCATATGCTTCATTTATACTTGCTGTAAGAAAATGTCAAGGCCTGAGGACAGACTAGCCTTTTTGTATTTTGGTATATTATGTAATACCTATTAAGCATGTGGGTACAGGGCAGAGATGTGATTTGTTTTCCTTTCTTTTGTCAAGTAAGTTCGTGTTCATTTCAGGTTATCTTTATGAAGCTGGTGATACTAAGTAGTTCATAATTTTGCTTTGCCTTTCCTACCAGCCTCAGTTCAGTATACTGATGTGATGGGACATTTGGCGCAATTCTCAAAATAGGAAGAAAACCAAGGTTGATGAATCTTAGTTTGGGTTTGTTGAAAGTCCCACATCGCCTACCTCATATCATTTGGTATGGTTTAAATACATGTTAGGCTACTCCACATATAGCCAATTGGTTTTATGTTGGAACCTTAACATGGTATCAGAGCCAAAGCCTAACATCTTTCCGGTTATTGTCATGGGCCAAAAGTTGCCCTTTAGTTGGGTCAAAAGTACCCTTTGCTTGGTCCGGTAGGCTTCGTTGGAGGGGGTGTGTTGAAAGTCCCACATCGCCTACCTCATATCATTTGGTATGGTTTAAATACATGTTAGGCTACTCCACATATAGCCAATTGGTTTTATGTTGGAACCTTAACCTGGTATCAGAGCCAAAGCCTAACATCTTTCCAGTTATTGTCATGGGCCAAAAGTTGCCATTTAGTTGGGTTAAAAGTACCCTTTGCCTGGTCCGGCAGGCTTCGTTGGAGGGGGTGTGTTGAAAATCCCACATCGCCTACCTCATATCATATCATTTGGTATGGTTTAAATACATGTTAGGCTACTCCACATATTGCCAATTGGTTTTATGTTGGAACCTTAACAGGGTTTATAAGTTATAAATGGTTTCTTAATAGTTATTTACTCCCTCCGGTCCTTACTAGTTTCTTAATAGTTTAGAAGAATGAAATCTTAGTTTTGGTTTATAAGTTATAAATGGTTTCTCAATAGTTATTTACTCCCTCCGGCCTTACTAGTTTCTTGATAGTTTAGAAGAAATTGAGACTACAGTTTCGGTACCTGTTTTATTTCTTCAATAATTAATAATTTAGCAACTATAGGGACTAAAAGTTCCATTTCCATGTCTACATATATGTACAATGATAATTGTGATTAGACTCGCCGGTTATAATCCTTCGATGTGCACTACGCTCACATTGCAGGAAGCTGTTAATAGGAGATGCGCAGGTAGCTTTCAAGTCACGGATTCCTGAGTCATTGATAAAGGATATGATTGAACGACTCCGATCCTTTAGCCAAGAAAAAGTACAATTTTAAGGACCTTGATCTGAGCATGGTACGAGGTGAACTATTAGTTTATTCTACGAATATTCTGTTATATAAGCCTTTAAATCAGTTAGTGATTAGTTTCTATATCATTTTGAAACTGTTGCAGCATGTTGATCTTGTCTTGCTAGTGAGGCGTGGTGTGTATACTCTGTATTACTAATTATTGTAGTGATGGTGGTACCCTTACTGGGATGCTAGTTTGGGTTTGTTACATACTAACTCTTTGAGCTAGTGCTGGCGATAGTAGCAGGAGAATGTGGAGACTTGTCATCACCGAAGCTTGGCTTTGTTATTTGAGCTAGAAGTTCAGATTTCATTTCTTGCCATAAGTTTTCTTTCTCTATGGAGGCTGTGAAGTTTTATTGAATCTTGAGGAGAGCATGCAGGAATTCTATTCATTCTGTACAAGCTATTTTAGTCATGTGTACTGGAGCAAAATCTTAATTTTCTATAAAATTGCTCAACAAATTTTGCAGCGAAGGTGAGGCTGTGCATGACTTGTGGATACGCGCTACCAACATTTTTCGTTGAAAGAGGATAACGCCCTCAAATTTGAGATTTATGATTCCATTTTGATAGACATCAGCTACTAAGTAACTTGGTCGAAAAATAGCTCTTTCGAGATGGTTAAAAAATCAAGAAATTCTAGAATGTCCGAAATTCTAGAATGTCCGCGGAAGCTGCAAATATTTTGGTAGACAAAATGAGTCACCACTCGATCAATTCAAATCCTCTGGTCAAATTTGAATTTTCGTCAGCATTCACTATTATAGAACTGTTGTTTTCTGCAATTAAAAGTTGTGTGTGGCTAAATGGTATAGGTGTGACAGAAGAAAACGAAGATAAGAAAGTAATCATTGTGACAGTTTTGATGTTCAATATAGACATTTTTGTAAATGTTTGGGAAAACAAGTGCATTAACTATTTTAATATTTATATATTAAGGCAGCAAAAAGACCTTAATTTATATATATATTTATATATTGAGAAAGAGGGCAACAATTCCGAGCTTCTACAACGAAACAGAGACTGAATTTCATACTTAAAATATTGCAATAAGATTTTCTTCCCTAAAAAGTGAAAAAAAGAAATGAAAATTTTCCATAGATCCTGAAAGGGAAATCTTATAAGTAAAAGAGTAAATAAATTATACCTTCAAAGCGATAAAGAAACAAGATAATAAAAAATCTAAAAGTAAACAAAAATTATAATTAAATTATGGATAAAATCTTTACAGCTATGTGAATCACTATTCTCTCACATAATTAGGATTATATTTATATTTAAAAATATCATGAAACTAATTATTATCATAAGTTTGACAAATCTTTTTTATATAATATTTGAAACACGTGTAATTTTTCATAAGTTTATAACACCAAATAGAGAAGAGGAGTAATGAAGAGTTAAAAATAAGTAAAAGCTATTTATCACGAAGTTAAAATTTAAGATTCGCTTATTTTTTTTCATTAATTTTTCTTTGCTTTTTCATCGAACCACATTTTTTTTTCTCTATTTTTTCTGATTTTTTCATGTTTTTTGTCTTTTTAAAACTACTTCCAATCAACTCGTAATGCATCAAGACCTTAATATTTTCTAAATCCACAAAAAATTCAAGGTAACACACCCTTACACTTATTTTCAACAAATTTTCAAAACAATTCTAAAGTTCCTCTAATCCTTAATGTTGAACATATCATGATTTTTCACTTTGATGGCTTTTAATGAACTATAAAATCATCAATAAATTTTTTTTGATAAGGATCAATGGGTACATAAGTGAAATTAATGCAATGTATGTCAATTTGACTAAGTAGCTGAAAATTAAATAATGTTTAAATCATATAAATAATGCATGTGAACAAGTAATATAAAAAAAATCAAATTAAGTTCTAGAATACATAAATATGAGTGAATAACACAAAAAAGAAAGAAAATAGGTTCAAATTTCATGAAGGTATTTATTCAACAAAAAATTATCCACAACTTAATTATTGTGTAAAACTTATTATTCTAAAATGTAAGAAACAAATCTATCATGCTTGAGTCTAGGAATGATGAAACTAAATCCACTTAGAATTTTTTTAAAACACGAATTCAATGACAAGTATGCTAAAATAATGCTAAACCCAAATTAGAACCAAATATTTTCCTCAATGTGAGAATATATAGCAAAAAGAGAATGAAAATCAAACAAAGAAAACAAAACAAATACAATCAAAACAAATAAAAACCAAAACAAATCAAAATAAATCAAATAAAATTCACAAAAACTCAAAAAAACAAATAAAAGAAATGAAAGATATGTCTATCAACTCCTAGTTTTCATCCATGTGTACGCTCTTTGATTGACGTATCTGTTAAACTCCTAAAGAAGAAGCATTCATCTAATCAATAAGAATTTCAATGCTACATGGTTCAAATAGATAGTAATTATAAAGTCAAGCAAGTAAGAACAAAATTAATCTAATGTAAACACAATAGCTAAAAGCTCCTTCTTAGTGGAGGTATAATTAGCTTGAGTTGTATCAAATGTGTAAGAAGTATAACATGATGGATTTTACCAACGTATTATAACAAAACAACACTAAAGATACTAGCACAAATTGGTTGTTGAGTAGATGCTAATGAAATTTTAGGAACATCACAACTACTAGTGGAATAAGATTTACAATAGGATTTACATTTTCTTTGAGAATAAAAACAAGAAGTATCACAAAGTTAATTTCAACACATATAACACTCATATCTGTATCACAAGTGCACTAACAAACTATATCAATGTAAATGTCTGAAAAATGTGACAAGTTTAAGCCTACTCCTACTTCTAAATCTGAATTTGTGCAAGAAACATTTAGGTCATCACACTGCAAGAAAATCATTAATTACCGACGGATAGTTACCGACGGATATGTAGTCGTCGAAAAATGAGTGATTATCGATGGACATTACAGACGAATTTAAAGTATTTGTGGAATTTGGTCTTACCAACGGATATATCCGTCAGTAAATGAACAATTAATTACCGACAAATATATCCATCGGTAAATTAATTAGTTACCAATGGTTATGTAGTCGTCGAAAAATGAGTGATTACCGACGGATATAAAATATTTGTGGAATTTGTTCTTACAGACGGATATATCCATCAATAAATAAATAATTAATTACCGAACTAAATTAATAATTAGTTACGGACATTACTGAACATATTTAAAGTATATTTTTAAAAATTAACATTAAATATTTAAAATTATATAATAATTACTTAATTTTAAATATATTCTAATAAATTAATTATTGACGTAATTAAAAAATTTAATATTTTTTTATTTAATAATTTAATTTAATCATAATTAGATTAATTTATAATAATTTATTAAATTAAATAATTTTAAAAATAAATATTTAATTATTTTTAATATTAAAAAATAACTGTTGGAAACCTCAATGGCGACCCCTTCACGCACTGACTCACTCGGCCACACCTCCCAGCTCTAACCATCCCTCCCTTCATCTTCTCCTTCCTCGCCATCAACTTCTCAAAAGAGTCACCATTATAGACCCATTCATCTCTCCCTATACCTGCGCCCTCATTTGACCTTCACTAACCCAAACTCCTTTTCATCTCCACTCCTCCTCACCATCACCATTTCCAACTTCCCTATCTGCACCCATCTCCTTCTTCTAGAACCCTAGCCGCTTATTTTCGCCCACCACGCCAAAATCAGGAGCCACCGTGAGCCTAGGAGAACTACCCTCTTCGAACCCTCGTCGCCACGCCTCGTCCCTGTAGCCCACCTCCATCTCACCCTAACTTACCCCCATCCAAGTCGCCACCCTCATCTCCCACGTCTAGGCCCTCCCCATCTTAGTTCCAGGTTAACCCGCACCTCACCCACTGCACGACCCTAGATCCTCGCAGCGCAGCCATCTTCATCGCGAGCTGTCTCCCCTCACTAGAGCTGCGAACCCAGTTCAAACTGCGGCGTACCATCGAAACCCCTGCAGCCAAACCATCGTGCCAGCCACCATGAACCATCAGTCATTTGCCTTTAACCACTCAGCTGTAACCAACAACCATTGCGCTAGCGCTGCAACAGCGCGACGCCCTCAGCGGCCACTGTGAACTGCAGGCTAGTGATTTGATGCAAGGTCGTGGACCAACAGCTAAGGTGATTCCTTGATTTTGGTTTCTTTTTCTTTGATCGGTTCAATTTTCTTTTATGTTTTGGATGAACTGATTTTGTTGGGCCGAGACTGGATTCTATTTGTACATGTTTGTTTCTGTTGGCTATGGCTGATTTATGCGTTTGATGCAGGGCTCGATCAGTTTAGATCTTTAATCGTTAGGTCTGCTTGGGATTATTTTGATTTAAGTTGGATCTGGGTTTGCGGGGTTGAAAATAGTAGGGTCTACTATTTTGTTCACTCTGATGTTTTCGTGTCATATGTTTGTTTCTGCAATTTCCCGTTGCTGTTATTTCCTGGGTTGTTTCTTTATCCTTATCTACACTGTATATCGATTTTCACAGGGACTATTGGCCCAAAGTCCCTTTTGTTGTTTGCTTTCCTTTGTTTGGACTGATGAGGACCATGGGTCTCATAGTTGATATGTTATATTTATCTCAGTATAATCAATACAAAATTTTCCTTTCTCTATTTTTGTTTCTGTTCATCTCTTAATATGGTATCAAGATCTCTGACATGGTGAAAACATGTGTTAAGTTTTACAAGAATCTCTGTTCTTATTTGCTTAGATGGTTTAATATTTGCATATCTCTGAATGTATGTCAAGAAATGCTTGCAGAACACAGTAATGATGCCTTTGTGTAGTTTTCTGAATACGAAAAATGTTGTTTTGCAGGCTTCAGAGCTCTTTATGGATTCTGAATCTGGAAGAAATTAGGATATCAGTGACAGATATTTTCGACGAATACACGGATATATTCGTGGTAATTACCCACAATACTTTTCGATAGATATATTCGTCGGTAATTACCTACAACACTTTTCAACGGATATATCCGTTGATAATTATCGACGAACTATTTAAATTCATCGGTAATATTTACCGACAATGAAATTTCTGACAAATTCTTTTCCACCGGTAAATCGTCGGTAATATATATTTACTGATAGATTTATATTACCGATAGATTTTTGTTGTTATCGGCGGATTTTATCCGTCGATAAATCCATTATTTCTTGTAATGTCAGAAAAAAGAGGTGGATTCTAGCACTGTTAAATTGAAATGTGTTTTTCGGTTGGTGTAGGAGCTGAAATATTTTTATTT